CCCCCCCCCCCCCCCCAACCCCCTCCCCCGTCGACGCGACCCACGCTTGTGTGTGTCTGGATGTGTGTGTGTGTGCAGGTCTGCCAGCCTTTGTGCAGGGCATCTTCCCCCTGCTCACCTTCTACGCCATCTCTTTCAATGTCGTGCCCGTCCTGCGAGCCTTCGTCGTCAATAAGGCATGCACACGCCCGCACTCGGACAAAGCCACACGTCATGGGATGGAACTGTGTATGGTATGGTGTGGTGTGCAGAGGAATGGCGACATCGCGCAACGCAATGAGATGCGACGAAAGTGGGCCGCGGCGCTGCAAGCAGGGGTATGCGGGCAGCCACAGCCACCCCCCAACACACCACGCAATACACCCCCTGTGTGCGTCAATCAATGCATGCAGGCACCCTTCATCCGCCGGAAGCTTGACGCCGCCCGACGGATGGCCAAACGAGTCAGCTACGTCCAAAAGGGTACATCACACACCCCCCCTCCCCTCTCCCCTCTCCCACCCACATCACCCCACCCATGAGTGTGCATATATTGTGTGCAGAGTCGGCCATCTACACGACCGAGCGAGACCTGCTGGACCAGGAGTCATCGTCGCCCGGCCGCAGCAGCAGCGCTGCTGATATGCCCAAGGCGCCCTCACGTCAGTCCAGCAGGACGATTGAGATCGACGTGTAGCGGATGGATGAATGGCTATCCATGCAACGCAACGCATGACTTTCATAGAGACAGACACGCAGAGTGACAGAGACTGCCTGTCTGTCTGCCGGTTTTGGTTTTTCTGTGGGCTGTGGGGTGGGGGGCCCGGAGGGGTGGAGTGAACAGAGAGATGGAATTTTTCGCTTCTGGACGGTTCATTATCGATCGCATTTTCATGTGTAGATACGTACGTCACGTCCATGTGTGTGTGTGAGTGTGTGTCTCGTGTTGTCTGGCAACGAAGAAAGAACAAAGGCAGCAAAGGGCAGCGAAAGGCAGCGAAATCTGTGTGTCCGTCCGCGTGTCTGCGTCTGTGTGTGTGTGTGAAATGGGACCAAATCGACTATGCACCTCGTAGTGAGTCCGTTGCGAGCTCACTCCATTTGCGAGCCGAAAATGCTGAGAGAGGATGAGCAGCAGCAGTAGCCATATATAGCAGCAGAGAGACTCCATAGAGCCTGCACAAGCTTGTTGGAGGCGGCAGCAGCGAGCTGACCGAAAAAGAGCAGAGCTCCCCTTGGAGAGAATTAGAGAAGAGAGAGATTAGAGATTAGTACATCGCATGACGGCAAGTTGGGGTGATGGATCAAACAAGCCAGCCCAAACACACATACTCACACTCACTCACAGCTCCCATGCCAGCTACACTACAGCGACTTATACTTGTATCTCGCCCCTCTCAGGTGGCCCAGCTTCTCGGCGCTCTCAGCGATCGACCTCTACACCCAGCGCCGCATACCCACCAGCACCCCAGTGACACACACAGACACACTCCGGCCATTCATGAGTTCGATGCAGAAGACCGACTCACCCATCAGCGACACCAGCACACACAGCTTCTCCAGCTGCAGCAGAGTGTTCGTGTGTTGACGGAGGACGTAACAGCTGCAGAGAGATGACCACAGAGAGGCCGAGGCCGAGGGTGGGGGCGGCTGGGGCTCTGCGGACTGCGGACTGCTCAAAGTAAAGCCTAGTGCCGCACACGCAGCAGCCCCAACCATCGACACAGCGGAACACACCAGCGAAAGAAGCCTCCCAGCGGCTGAGTCCGATAAGGTACACGATGTCGGCCTTGTGTTGGGATAGATCAGCCGCGCAAACAGGGCTCCCGCAACGACGGCACACGCGAGGGAAGCCAGAGAGGCCAGCCCGCCCACTACAAAGCGCCAAAAGAGTGCGTCCCTGGCGAGTTGCTGACTGAATGATGCGATGATTGCCTCCTGCTCGTCCTCGTCGATAGGCGCAGTATCGGCATCAGCATTGGCATTGGCAGCGGCAGACGTCACCTTGTTCCTTCGCGCCTTCACTTCATCTGATGTCTGCATTCAGCCTCATATAATTCGATGAGTTACATATTCCCGATGTTTTCTGCAGAGCAGCACCAGCGGCCACGTGCAGTACGAGAGGCCTCGCTCCTTGTTTCTTCCTCTTTCCGATGTGCAGATCTTTGCAAGCTCGCAGGGAAGGAAAAGGAAGGCATCCGTGAAACCGCTCCTCCCCAGGAAAAGGAAGGCCCGCTGGTTTCCCCCCTACAGGCGAAGAGCTAACGTCGAAGGTGAGTTGCACGCATTCTCATTGTCTTCATATCAGGAAGCACAAATATTGCTGGCTGGCTCGTGCCGTGTTCTGTGATGTTCAGTCAGTGTGCCAGATCCACTCCACTCGTCTGCAAGTGCTCGTCGTCGACACGGTGACCATCTCTGCTTTGACGGAGGTAGGTACATGGTTGCCAAACGACGAGTAGACAGGACGTCACGCAGAGAGGACGCAGAGATGTCTGCCTGTCTGTCCCCTGGGTGTAGGTGCAGACAAGCAGATGGCGTCTACGTCGACTGTGGTGTTTGCTGCGACTGCGCCACCGCTGCTGCCGCGGGGATGGGTGAGACTGGATGCCGTGGAGACCCAGTTTGATGAGGGCACCAGCGATGTCACCCGTCGGCTTGCCATGGGCATCATCCACCGCACGCTCACCAGTGCCGCCGAGGTGACACAGCTCATACAGCAGGGGGCAAACCCAGATGTCCAGCTGCTGCTGACAAGAGGGCCGTACCAAGGACCCAGTCGCACGGGTTACCCTCTGCTGGCTCTTTCCATCGATGACATGACCGACCACACCCTTGGCGCCATCGAGGCACTACGATCAGCGCAACAATGGTCAGTGACGTACACGCATCAGGGTGAAGTGAGTGCACGCATTCAATTTGCGTTCATGTGTGTCAGGTCTCCCGTCGCCATGCCTCGCTGGCTATCTACTGACCTCCAGGACGCCGTCATGAATGCCCTCATCGATGGCGGGGCTGACATGAACGCGGCGGATATCCTTTCACAACACAGACCCCTCCAAGTCGCCGTGGCGGCGGGCAACCAGGCGGCACTCGGTCTTCTGATGGCGCGCAACGTACAGCTGCGAGGGTTCATGATAATGCAGCTGCCATTCGAGGCGGAAGTCACATTCCGTCCTACCCCTGCCCTCGAGAGCCAGCTGCTATGCATCTATCGCCGGCTTATCCAACACGACAGCACACTGGCAGACGAAGGCAACGGATGGGGCTCATTCGACCATGTGATGCGTTCTGCAGCGATCAGAGGCAGAGAGTACTCGCCGGCCTTTCTCGATAGCTACCTGGATCTGCTGGTGGGCAACGGCGCGAACATTATGGCTGCGGACGGGGATGGCCAGACAGCATTCCATTGGGCGGCCTTCGCCGGGGCCCATCGCGTGATTCATTGGATGTCTCGGCACGTTTCGGCTGGGGAGATCAATAGACGGACGAATCAGGGTGCTGACGGATATACGGCCCTCGACGGAGCTGCCTCTCAGCTCGACTGGTTCACCGAGTGGGTGCGGAGAGCCGACTTTGTGTCGGAAGAAGAGGAGGAGAACATTCGCAGGAGGATACCTGTCCAGAAGACTTGCATCCTTGTGCTGCTAAGAGGCGGTGCAGCCCCATCGATTGCCCACCTTCCTACAGCAACCGAGGCGGACCGCCGTCGCCGCCAGCTGGTGCTCACCGAGTACGCGACAGTGCTGAATGAGCTGCGTGATGTCGTCATGGAGGCGATCAACACCGCCCTCGCACCCCAGCGCGATTACTCGATGCTTCTCACGCGTCTACTGCCCCTGGCGCCGCACCACGATGGCCACGCCACTCACCCATCCCCCTCCAACCTCTCATTCGGACCACAGGAGGCAGAGGCCATCGCATGGCATGTCGAGTCATTCCTGTATCAGCCCTTAACAGCCATGGCGACCATCGATGAGTACCTGATTGGCGACTCGGTGCTGAGGCAGCATGTGCGGGCGGCCGTGGCGCAATTCGTCAGGCAGGCGGCCACACGTACGGCGAGCAATAGGGAGGTGGTGGGCGGGACGCGTCAAGAGGGCGGGCAGACGGTGCGCGTGCCTCCCTTGCAGTGCTTTGCCATTGGGAGCGGCAATGGGGCCCGTGCGGTGCGCATGGTGGGTGTGCGTGAGGTGGTGCATCGAGCCCGGCTGGACGAGGCGGACCAACACGGCGTGGCGGGTGTGATCAAGGGCTTCAATGAGCATCTTGGGGATGGGGACTGCCAGTTTCAGTGGCAGCAGCTGGGGTACATGACCAGGGGCGTGTTCGTGTCGCTGGGCTTCACGTGAAAAAAGGCTGAGTGGCTGTGGCTGACGGACGAGTGTTTTAATGCTGTCACTTTGCGTCACACAATAGAGGATGGGTGCATGTGGTGGGGCTGAGGGGTTGACAGGGAGGGAGGCAGCCCGCTGCCTTGCTGTGGACCTGTGGCTGCATCGCTGCATGGCCGCTGATATGTCATGGTATCTGTCTGTGAGCGTGTGCGTCTGTGTGTGTGTGCTTCGTGTGTGTATGTCATTCGTTCATTCATTCATTCATTCATTCGAGCGTCCTCATGAACACACTGCAGGTGACACACTTCGTCTTCACGTTGACTTGCCAATCAAATGTTTGCGTGGGCGCACCTCGATCTCATTGACAGATGACTGCTCGGCGATCACGAGCCCGGAAAACCCCGAGGATCCATCGTAAACACAAACTAAGGCCGGAGGTCCCCGACGTGTGTTGCAGTTCACACAAGCTCTCTGCAAGCGACCTTCAGTGCAGAGGGCTTCCGCCGTAGATTGCCACCGTCCCGCCACCACACACGCCATGGGGGAGAGGCGGTGCTTTGTGACGACTTGTTTCCATATCCAAGGCCATGGATGTACGCGCAATGCATGTGGGAAGGGCGGTCCGGTAGTCATGGTGCATGGCGGGGCAATGCTGCCCATGCACAGCGCTGTTGTGACACGTGGGGGTTGTCGTGTCTCATGGTTTTCGTCGATGCGTCCATCTGTTTGTGTGGTGCAGGTTGGAAGGACGGCAAACCATACAACTACGTTAGCGGTGCGCACCAAGGTACACAACGCGCAGCGCACTGAAAGAGGCGGTGAGATACATAGCATTTCCGCCTCTTTCATCGTCTCCTGTGTGAACGTGCAGGAGCGCGACGCATTGCGGGCGGTGTGGGACGAAGTGCGGGAGGTAAAGACTTAATCAACACACACTGCATATTGGAGTGCGCGTGACATCGTGTTGTGTCCCTTTGTGTGGGTTTGCAATGCAGGTGTCGCTGATTTGTGCGGAGGCGGTCAAGAAGAGCTATGGGGAGGCGAAAGAGGCCATGTACAGGCCCTGGCTGCATGCCGCCTTCACCAAGTTGCACGCCCTCAACCTCACCCAGTTCGACAAGATCATGCTGCTCGATGCCGACACGCTCGTCAACCCATTCATGGTGATGAAGGAGTCGGCCGCCCGCATCCAGGCGCGCGTCGAGAAGCTCTTCAGTGTGAGGACCCCTGCAGGTAGGTAGGTGGGGTGGATGTGCTGATTGATGACAATTTGATGTGGATGGCTTGTGATGTGATGCTCCTCTGCGTTGTATGTTGATCATGCAGGCTTGTGTTCGGACACGTTGGGTGGCGCTCAGGTGCACGGCACGCCGGTGTCAGAGGAGCAACTGAAGGATGCCAAGGACAAAGGCTGGGGGATGAGGGGGTGTATCATGGCGCTCAAGTAAGACAGATCGGTGAGATGGGCAAGTGTGTGGTGGGTGGATGCGCCTTGCAGGCCGTCGCGCGATTTGTTCGACAACTGCCTAGGAGAGCTCTCCAGCGTTAGATCATTAGTCAAGGGGCGCATCGGGCGATATGGAGACAAAGACAAATTCATAGGTGCGTCCACATCTATATCTAAGACTTGCTGCAGTGCGTGATGCCTGTCCATGTGTGTGTGGTTGGCAGGCCCGGACGAGTTGTTCTTCTCTACGGTGCTGCAGGACTGGCACCACCTGACCCCCAACGCGTGTGTCACCTCCTGGCACCTCAAAGAGGAAAGTGAGCGAAACGAGACACACATCTATATGGAGGGCTGTATATGTCTCCTCTCTTTGGTCTGGTGGTGTGCCCAGACGAGACCAAGGCCTTCTTTCTGCACATCGTGTCCGAGAAGGTGTTCATGCCTCAGTTTGGCAAGAGGTGGCCCGATTATGGTAGGTTACGGTGGGCGGTGCGATGGTTGTTATGTGAGTGTGTGGGGGTTTGTTGCGGCCCTCAGACTTCTGGCTCAAGTGGGCCATTCAGTGCCGCGACGACCATCCTGAGACGCGCCTCTGGCTAGGCCACATCATCGAACGCACCATAAAGGTATGCTCGATATACGAAACAAGAAAACCGGCCGACACACCAGATGGGGGATGACATCATTGCTCTGTTTTCCATTCTCAGGAGCCCATTACGTATCACCCCATGTACCGCTGGCCATTCGACCCTCTGGACAAGCCGATCAAACGGTTTCGCGAGGCCATCGCACAGGGGTACCCTCACTGATGGGCAGCGGCAGCAGGGAGGGAGACACTCAGACGCACAGACTATTGTGCGTGAGACAGACAGACAGATTGGTGTGGTGGGAGTGGGGTGCAGTCGTGTGGGTGCCGATTTCCAGTACATGCCCATGTAGAGATGGACGACACTCTGATGTGCACGCCACGCACGTGTGCATATACAAGACATGATTAAAAGGGTTCGACTACAAGCCACACACACATCGTCCAGTCCACCTGTCCATCCATCCATCAGCAACGTCTGTCTGACCGATGCCATCCATGAATGCACCATGGAAATCACGATCAGAACTGCACAACACACACATACCACCCCACCCCACACATAGGGAGCCTAGCCTGCCCCTATCCACAGACAGACAGACAGACCGACAGACAGACATACCAGCGGGACAAAGGACAGGCTGGCCCGTCCGCGCCAAAAAAGAGGCGGGTGTGTTCGGTCAGCACACACCAAGAGCGACCCGTCCCGTCGGCACCCACCCCTTCACGCCCAGAGTGCCTTGCACTGCTCTTCCATGTCCTTGAAGGGCATCGTGGGCCGCTGCAGCCAATTGTCGCTGCACACATACACACAAAGGAGGACAGCAAACGATATGTAACAAGTGAGCCTCGGCCTCTGCTTGTGGTATCACCTGGACCACTGGCAGTCGTCCTGCTCCACAATGTGCAGCGTGTAGGCGTGCCTGCGAAGGGCAAAAACAGGGCAAACAGACGCCTTCCATTCATGTGGGCGCCCCTGCCTGGGTATGTCCCCAGCTACCTACCGTGATGTGTTGGAGTAGTTGTGTTCGCTGAAGTGCACGAGGGTGCCGTGCAGCAGGACCAGCGTCCCCTTGGGCACCTCCAACGGCACTGCATTCGTTCAGGAATGCATCACACATACGAGGCAATCGATCGCCAAAGGGCAAACCATCCTGCGATGAATCCTTGCCCTCTGCCTACCTGCATTGTCGATGTCGTATGTGCCAGGTCTGTCGTAAGCTGCGCACGCACACGCTCACATAGTGTACAGTACAGTGCACCAGATAACCGATTGTGGCAGCCCACCTGCACTCGTTCTGTCCTCATTGAGGAGAAATCTCTTCAGGATGCCCTTCTTGTGAGAGCCCTACACGGACAGGCAGCCACACATGCACACATGGACATGACAGATCGGCTGCCCAGCCCATGAGCCGGACGTCGACTCACTCACCGGCACAGCATAAAGGCAGCCGTTGGTCTTGTTTGCGTCCTCGAGCGCTATCCAAACACCTGCACACACACAGGCGGAAGGCAGACACCTCCATACATCACAGATCGCATAGAGAGTGCTCGACTGTCTGTCTGTCTGTCTGTCTCACCGAGGCATGACGGTGGGTCGGTGTGGATGAAGGATGAGTCCTGGTGGGGCGTCACGCTGCCTCCTGCATACACGGGGATCATCCACCAGTGTGATGAGTGGATGGCCATGTGTGTGGGTGTGTGTGGCGTACCGACTGCAGGCTGCTTGAAGATGTACATTGACTGCACTACTGCTGGGCGCCGGTAGCCTGCAGGGATGGTATGCATACGAAGCACCCACCAACGAGCGAGTAAACGGGCAGATAGAGGTCAGAGTGCTCTCTCTCTCACCGACCCAGCGCCTTGCAGGCATTCAGCAACACAGGATGGTAGCTGAACTTCCCTGACACACACACACACACACACAGACACACAGCAGGTAGACAGGAAGCAACAAACACATCCATGTGTTGATCCACGCGCAGAGTACTGCCCTCTCTTGTCCATCCATTGACGGAGACTGACTGAATGTGTCGTCGAGGTCATGCATGGCATGGCCCATCTTGTTGATGGCCAGCCTCTTGTCCACCCGCAGCCTCCCATCCTCGTCAAAGGCGTCCTTCTCAAAAAACATGCGGATCTTGTCGCCGGACGACAGGAAGTACTCATCGCTCTGGTGTGACAGACGCTCTGATCCATCACACCCATACACAGACCGCAGATGAGATGCAATCTGCCGTGATGCTTCCATCGATTCATGATCGTCCCGTACCTGTTTCGAAAGTTGATTTGTGCGAGTCCGCGTCGAAGCCACTCACGATCTGCCCCGTGCGGCTGACCAGTGAGTCGATTTCATCGTCGGTGTATGCACCGGGAATGACCAAGTAGCCATCCCTATTGAACTTCTCCACATCCACAGCGCTGATCTGCGGCATTCTTCAGCCTCAGATCTTTGACATGTGTCCGTTCTGCTGTTCCTTCGGCTTCTGTGCGAGCTCAGCTCAGGTGCGAGCTCAAAATGTCAGGGCTGTGGACGATGGCGACAAGGAAGGAGGTAGAGCAACAAGGCCCGAGCAGGGCCGCCGAAAAACGCACTTGTGCTGACCATGCTCTGCAGCAGTGCCTCGCCGGGCTCACGGCGAAGCTCTCGCGGCTGGCGGCGCTGCAGGAACGCATCAAAAAGCTGAACCACAAGGTCAGTGAAGCATTACATCGACATGAAAACTCCACCCGTTGCAATGCATGTGTTGGTTGTTTAATTTCCACCAGGCTGAGAGAGTATTTGAGGCGGCGCATGCAAAAGAAGAGTTCTCGGAGGAAAGTGACACAACAACACAGGTGAGGAGGGCGGCGCACACCACCAACACCAAGGCATCATTTCAAGTCGCTTCCTGTCATCATCAGTCTGTTCGGGGTCAGTGTGAGGTCCTGCTCGCCGTCCTGACCGGCCTGCAGGATGACGGCAAGAATGTGCACGAGATGGAATCCCTCGTCTGCCTGGCAAACGCCAAATGCGACCTCATCACTGCCATGATACAACAGCCGGTATGCAGGCAGACAGAGGGAGTTCCACGGACTCTAGCCTGGCCTGGCACCTATCGTTTGTGTGCGCGCATGTTTGGTCAGTCATTCGCCCCTTCACCCCTCCTCACGCTCCCCGAGTGCTGCTTCACCAGCTACATCGGTCCCCTTCTCGGCACACGATCCATCATCGGCAGACTGGCCCTCTCAAACACGGCGCTGCACGCCCTCTCGCGCAAGCCAACCACGCACCAGACGCTGCACCTTCGCCCGCAGTCGAAACGGTTCGACTGGGACACACCGGTTGACCTGACCGACAAGCAGGTTGCTGCTTGGCGTGCCGCTTTCCGCAAGACAAAGCGGGCGGTGGTGGGGTGTGCGCCGAGGATGGGATTGGTTCACCTGCTCGAGCATGCGAGGGAGGCTCTGACGGAGCTGGAGGCGTGGTCAGATGCTCATTATGTGGACGACGGCAGGTCACTGGAGCGGCGGGAAGAGACAGAGGGGGACATCGCCTTCTCCCTGCTGGCTCGCGTCAAGGTGGCGGGCTGGTGGATCTGTGTGGCAAACCGTCGAAGATGGACAGCCATGTAGGTGACTTCGAGGTGATCAAGAGACAGCTGGCCATGCACACACACACACACACACGAATGTGTGCTGCGGGTTTTTGTCAGGTCTTTGACTGACGTCCACCTTCGCAACCTGCTCATCCCACAACATCACCAGTCTGAGTGGATGCAGTCTCATCCCGCGTTTCAGTCGTGTGCCGGCTACGGCGGAATGGATTGCAATCGCTGGCTGATCGGGCCAGGGCCACATTCTGTCAACCTGGAGGATGCACGTTCCTCAGGTGGCTGGGTGGGCGGGGAGCCGAATGGGTGGCGTATGGACGATCTGACATCCTTCATCACGCCTTCCATCACGTGAGGGAGAAGACTACCTACCTATGCACTCACTGCACATTCATTCTCTGTTTGTCTGTCGGCCAGGCGGATCAGATATTCGAGGCTACACCCGACAGACACCTGGTGGCGGCCATTCCGAGACTGCAGCTCGAAGAGCTTGACGCGTGCATCGACCGAACCGATGGCCCTGTCATAGAGGTCAGGACAAACAGACAGACAGAGTGCTGCGCACGGGCATCAAGAGTGCCCTTGGTGCTTGTTTGGTGTTTGCAGGGCTTGGAGGTGCTGCGATCGATGTTCGTGGCTCCCACCGGCAAGCTGACCGTCGCCTGCCGGGCCTTCGTCATGTTCGACACATTGCGAGAACTGGGCCACCTGGAGCTCCACCCTCTCTGGAGCGACACCCTCACTCAGCTCGGATCTGCCGCCCGACGTGTCGCATTCCCTTCCGGGCTGCCGAAGGGAGCGGCTGTCCCATCCGCTGTCATGCGTCACGTGCCGCACATGATGTTTTCGCATGCTCAGCAGCTTCTGCTTCAGGGGGCAGGGGCCGACTCTATCACCCTTCCTAGCGTCTTTCTGTCACACATTTCTGACCGCAACTTTCCCCGTGTGTACACCATGGATCTGGGAGAGGCCAGGGGGGTGAGGCAGGAGGCAGTCAGCAAGGCCGTAGATCTCAAGCTACTGAGATTGATCCGTTTTGAGCGGAGGACGCCACAGCTTGGGTGGTTTCTCTTTCCTCTCTGTCTCGCCAGGTGCGGCAAGACAGGCCCGACTCTTACTCTATCAGCCCACTATGACAACCAGCAGGCCCCCAGTTTAAGTGTGCGTAGATGGTCGTTGTGGGAGCGCGGGGGCGCGCAGAAGAGAGGCATAGAGAAGCGCGTAGAGAGAATCGATGTCCATCTTCGTTGGTGCCACAAAGGGAATGCAGACGAGTCCCGTTTGTTGTCTGTCTGCCTGGAGGCGATCGACAAGTGCCCATTCCTCGACTGTATTTGCCTCCACGGCTTCTCTCTCGATCAGCTAGGCAGCGACATCCCCGGCAAGCACGCACTGTTTTCGCATGGCTTTGTCGCCGTGCAGAAAACGTACGATTGCCTTGAGCTTTGTCGCGTGTTTGGCTGCGTGTTTCCCCGATGTATGGCTGAGCACGTGTCTCCCCTCCCTGCCTCTGCCGTTTTGGCGCCCCCCCGATCATCGATGGACGACAGCGCGTCTCTGTCAGAGGCTGTGCTGTCGCACATTGGTGTGCGCTTCCCTCGTCTGGTAGCCAGGCACCTCAGGAAGGAGAGAGAGAAGGCCATCTTTAGAGAGGTGCGTGCCAACTGATGTCTCAGGACATCTCAAAGTGCATCGGCAAGTTTGAGCATGCCGCGATGGAAAGTGACGCCCGCAGACTTTATCTGATGAGGCGTGATGTAGTCTGCGGGCGTCGTGGGGGTCGGGTGCCCTAGTGATGTGAGGGGGTGGATGTGTGAAGAGCGTGGGTGTCTTTTAATGAATGGGTTACACGATTGAATTGAAATGCACATCCGGAAAGAAAAGAAAATCATGCACTCTGCCTCGAGCTCCATAGGTCTCCTCGTGTGTCGCAAACAGGCCAACGTCGCATCACATCACATCACATCCACACACACACACACACTTAAACAAACACACACACAAACGCCAGGCTTCACATGGACGAGACACACACAGGTCGTTAAGACCATCACCTACGCCAAAAACAACAAGTGTGGCTATCTATCAGACAGCCGCTCACCCCCTCTTGTCAGCGATCTCCTCGAGTATGCGACAGACGACCTCCAAACACGGCTGCACCGTGGATATCTGCACCCTCTCGTCGGGCGAGTGGGCACCAGTGATGGTGGGGCCAAACGACACCATATCCATCCCTGACACAGACAGCCACACACACATCCACCCAACACACGACACACACGTGTATGGACGCGTTGAACAAGGGGTGTTCCTCCTCTTCTTGCCTGGCAGCTTCTCGCCGAGCACGCCACACTCAAGGCCGGCATGCAGTGCAACCACATGAGGCTCGCGGCCCAACACAGACTGCACACACACACACACACACACACACACACATGGCAAGGCAAGTCAGGTCAGGGCATCACCCAGCGTGGCTGCTGTCCTTCCTTCTCTCTCCACATACCTTCATCTTGCTTTCTGTGATCTTGAGCAGCTCGCTGGCGTTGTTTGGCGGCCATCCGGGGTACATTGGTGGCTGATCGACCTCTATGGCGCCAAACTGCCTGGCCAGCACCGCTAGGTCGTCTCTGATGGCCTGGAGAGCGCACCCATGAAACGACCGCGAAGAGCAGCCGATCGTATAGGCTGAAAGCACGGCCAAGCAAGGACGACAATGACGTGCATGGGGTGGCAAGATCCTTAGCGATTCACCTGAGTCATCGGTCCTCTTGATGGACGCCACGTTGTTACTGGTCTCAGGCACTCCAGCCACACTGTGAGAGGTCTTCTGCACACCGTGTGGCAGCACACGCAGCAGATTGACCAGGGTGAAGGCAGACGAGCTCGATAGACACGAAGACGGGTGGGCCTGCCCCCCACACACAAGCAGACGTCGTCATTTCTGCCAGGAATAGGGCTTGCTTGTTGGTTGTTTGCTCACCTCGGACGATGGCGTCACCTCGATCGTCATGTCTGGCTCCATCAGGCCATACTCCTGCGTCAGAGCCGTCATCGACGTCCGCACACTGGCATCCACAGCCTCGCTGGACGATGGACGAACGGCGATCACGGCTGACGCCTCCCGTGCGATTGCATTCCTCTTGTCGCCGCCACCGATGTCGACAGCCTTGACGCCATGCATGCTGATCAAGGGGGCGAGGACTCTCGCCAGCAGCTTGACCGCATTGCCTCGATCCTCGTGGATGTTGATGCCTACAGGCACACAGACAGACACCGGCCCATATGCAGATGGCGACATTTGAATGGCTTTGAATCACCTGAGTGTCCTCCTTTCAGCCCGGCGATCCGCAAAGTGCTGATCTGCCAGTCGCCATGCAGCCTCTCCAGCGTCACAGGCATGACGATTCGCGTGTCGCCGCCGCCAGCGCAGCCGACCGTGACCTCACCCCATGATTCAGAGTCGAGATTCAGCATGTACTTGCCCGTCAGAATGGCCGGATCCAAGTCACGCGCGCCATTCAAACCTGAGACAGATGTACACACACGACAAAGATGCATTATACCGATACTCTGGATGATGGGGACGGGTTGCACACACCTGTTTCCTCGTCCACGGTGAAGAGGCACTCGAGAGGCGGCAGTTTGGCGTCCGCAGGGGCAGCCAGAAGGGCCAATGCCATGGCGCACCCCACCCCGTTGTCAGCCCCAAGTGTCGTCCCATCGGCTCCCAGCCAGTCGTCACTGCTCTTGACGAGCTTGATCGGATCATTGAAGAAATCGTGATCACGATCAGCATTCTTCTCGGTCACCTGACGAGTGGAAGGAAAGAGCCAGCGCGTCCCCGTTGCGTGAGCCATGATGGTGGGTCTGTGTATGGGGTTCACCATGTCGACGTGGCCCTGGATGACCACTGTGGGTGCGTTCTCGCCTCCCCCAGATCCTGCCCGCCTGATAACGACGTTGCCGGCCTTGTCCTGCACAAACGTCAGCTTGTGCTTCTCAGCATAAGACTTCAAAAACTGCAGTATGCGGCCTGAACATGACCCACAAGCACCAAGCATCACTCACCTCACTGCAGATGTGTCCAGCTGTCTTTCTACCTTCATGTTTGCTCGGTCTGGGTATGTTTGCAATGATCTTGAAGTTCTTCCACACAGGCGTGGACTCCAGCAGACTCTCGAGCTCAAGGTTTGTCGCAGCATGCCCATTCATCCTCACACGGGTCTGTGTGGCGAAAGGGACGCGTAATCGCTGGCCGAGGAATGCGGCTCGAGAAGAGCGCAGTGCGACGAACGCCAGGGGCAAGAGGAAGCAGCAGACGACAAACAGACAGACAGACAATCTCGGAAGGATGCAGCGTAAAGATGATACGAAGTGGAGATCTGAGCGTCCACGCTTGGAATTGTGCATACGAGGCTGTAGGAAAAGGAAAAGGAAAAGGAAAAGGCTCAAGTTTTCCTCAGGCTAGTAAGCTCGCAACCGATCGTGCGAGCTTTCGTTAACCTCACGGGGACCTTCCGGAGGCCAGGGATCTCACAGGACGTCAGCAGAGATCTCTAGCGAGTCTAAGTGCACCCATGGTTGAGATCTACAAGGGAGGCAAAAAGTTCTCTGCATTGCTCGAGCACAATGCTGACCTTCCTGATGACATGGCCACCTTGGTGGAGCTGAAGCGTGAGATTGAAACGGCCATCTACCACCTCGGTAAGAAGATCCAAGCACAAACATCGTCGGTGCTCGCTCACATCGCTTTGATTCATGTATTTGTGCTGCCTGCTGCAGAGCGGTCCAACCGAGAGCTGGATGCCGCAGATCCGGTGAGTCTGAGAGAGCAGCAATCCTTCAGTCCCTTCCATCCATCAGCCAGTGCTTTGTCGTTTGCTTGTCTGTCAGAACGGTCGCGATGCCGACTTCCAAGAGGCAATCACGGAGAACATTGGTGCGCTGCGCACGAAGCGTGAGTTGTTGGAGAAAGTCAAGGACAAGATCGCCGAGCTGGAGGCCCACTGCTGCGACAAGACGCCCCACATCGTTCCCCCAGCCTCACTCATGGCCGCACCACCGCCGGCCAGCGCATCGTCGGCTCGGAGGCAGCCTGAGGTGCTTCCCGACCCGCAGACGGATGACATTCAGTCGATGCAGGTGTATGCGGAGACCATGGCTGCCAGGCAGCAGCAGCAGCAGGAAGCTGTGAGAGATGAGAGGATGGTGGGCGATGAGACGGTGGAGCAGGAGCAGCGGGAGGGAGAGGACGACGGGCTGAGCTTATAGCATCGAGCAAGGCGCGACGACCAGCATGAATGAATCTTTTTCGTGTGCAGTGTGTGCGGGCATGAGTCTTTTTCGGCTGCGTGAGCGAAGATGATGAGTTTTTTCGGATCATTTCAGTCAGGGATGCGTTTCGTTGGGTCGCTTGTCAGAACAGTCTTGAAAACAACAAGAGTGGTCGTGGCCTTACACATAAACACGAATGCGACATATAAGCAGGCTGCATCTACATAATAAATCAACGACACACATGAGTGAGGACGACGACCCTCGCAGCAAAAATCATCCCATTGCCCGTCCACACACCGATGCCCCCACCCACACACAACACGATAGACAGACACATACAGAGCAAGTGGGATGAGTAGCCACGAGACAATACACCACCCGATCTACACTAACGTGACCGACCATCACACATATAGTAGCACAAACCACCACACACACAGTGGGCGAAAAAAGCTGCCCTCAGGACGAATGGACCATTTCACACCATCACATTTAAAGCAGGCCCCTTGCAAGCCGTGACAGGCGGCTCTCGATGACCGTGCCTGCACGGTCTGGGAAATTGAAGGCCGTCGCGATAGGGTTCTTCAATGAGCGCAGCACCGTCACCCGTTTGATGCGGGGACATCCGCCGCCCATCCCAGAGCTTGAAGGCCGCATGTGGAGTCCCAGCATCGCCACAAAATCGCTTTCAGTCTGCACAGGGAAGAGAAAGATTGGTCCTGTGGGTGCTGACTGGCTGCGCCTACCTTGCTGCTGAACTGTCCCCTGAGTCTGTGTCGTGCCCCGTCCTCGCGGATGTCCTCCAGGTCCAGCTGCGTGACCCTTTCTCGTCTGTCGTTCTCGATGGAGCCTTGCTGGCGTGTGACGAGGAGCTCACCACCTGTGTGACAACACAGTGGACGGAATGAAACAGCGCAAAAGGCGTATGAGACTGTGCCCGCGTACCGAGTGCGCCGGCGAGAATCGCCCCTGCCTTGTGAGGGCACTCCATGGCGGACCAGGGCGCGCTGGGATACGGCTGCCCTCGCATTGGCTTGCCTGCATCCATCCATCCATCCATCACAGCAGAAACAAAAGGGGATGGATCCCACATTGGCGTCGCCTCCCCTTCTGCTGGTCCGCCCACTGACCTACAGGGAGGACCGACACCAGGCGGCGCTGTGACTTGGCGCATTCCAACACTCTCTGAGTGTGCGAGACACACAAATGCGCATTGTGTCTGTCTGTCTGTCTATCTGTCCGTCTGTCTGTCTGTCTGATTACCTGCAACCCTTCCTTGGTGACATGTCCGTCGGCCATCAAATCGTTGGTGGGGTAGGCGATTTCAAAAATGCCATCTTCGTCTGCGGGACCCCCACCTGCAGAGCAGTGGATGTGTGGGGATTTCATTCATCTCTCTCTCTCCAAAGCACCTGGGATGACACAGATGTCGCCGAAGTACTTCTTGATGGCAGGGATGACGCTCCCGTCCGTCAGGTCCCCAGGGACTCCGGACTCGGATTCTTCGTCCTCATCTGCAACAGAGCCATTAGAAACCAAATACAGTAGTGGCGGCTGTGCTGCGGACCGCATCTCGCTTCTTAAGTACCCGAGGCGATGCAGACAGCGTTGAGGAAGATCCTCGTGATCTCTTGAGCCATCGCTTGAAGAATGGAAGCTCGAGGACGAGTATGGCGCTGGATGTCGCTGAACCCTATCACCTGAAACAGCACCACCACCACCACCACAACCACAACCACAACACCAGAGCCTAGATTTCCCACGGTGCCATTGTCCTTTCACCCCTCACCAACACAATGGACAGCTCAGGGTTGCGCACGAGGACGTCCTTGATCTCACTGAAGCCACACACAATGGGCAGAAGAGCAGACACGGCACACGGATCAGGACGGGTGTTCCTGTGAGCTCGACCTGGCAATGATGTTGAATTGGTTCCCTCTGAAGACGGAATCATCCCCTGATATGACCACCAGTCGCTTCGGAAGCGCTGTCGCCGATGCACTCGAGTTTCTGCTCGATAGATGCCGCTCTTGCTGCTCACCGACTCGCACCACCACGTCCTTGCCATCTGTCCTGTCGTCCGCAGCTCCATTCCCCTCCCACTTTGCGTCGCTCGTGAGCCCGATCAGGTCTTGCTGTTCCTTCTGGTCTTGCTGTTCCTTCTTGTCAGCCGCATTTTGGCGAGTGGCGGGACGGAGATGCAGGTGCGTGGGAGGCCACAGACGAGGCGGCCAGTCGTCGGCCATGTCGACCTTCGAGCGCTTGGTCTGGCCTCCTTCTCGGCTTGTGGGTTGGATGGGGCCTGTCTGCATGCTCTCCCCTCCCCTCTTGCGCGCGCCCTCGTGCATCTCATCATGCAGGCCCGGATGGTGGGCGGTCGGCCGTGAGCTGGCTCGCCGGTCGAAAAGAGGGCGTGGCTGTGCCTGAGTGGACGGCTGGTAGTGGCTGTTGTTCTGTGCATCCAGGTCCCTCAGGAAGATGGATGTGTCGTTGAGCTCGTCAGGGGATGCACGTGTGGCCTGGAAGACGCCATGTGCGTCATCAGCCGCCTCTCGCCACTGCCGGAGGGATGAGCTCGACAGGCCACCGTAAGACCCACTGGTACCGGCGATGCACGAGGGCCGGAGGTACTGGCGGTAGGGCGACTTGTGCCACTCGATCTCGTTCTCGAGGTGGGCCACGAAGGGACGCACATAGCGACGGAAACCTGCAGGCAGAACAGGGAACAGCCAATGATGGGCAGCATGGCTGAGCAAGTGCGGGTGTGGCTGCTTACCGAGCACCGAGAGCGATGCCAGCACACGTCTGATGCGCAGGTGGTTGTGGGGGAAATGCAGGAAGGCGTCACGGTACCTGCACACCAACACAACCATCCACTCATGTCCTCCCTCCCTCTTGTCGTTCGCCGCACCTACCGATTGTTGAAGTTGCCATTTGTGTTTCGCCCCACCTGGCCTGTCCGCTCGTCCACCAGGTACATGCCGAGGAAGTCCAGCCATAGCTTGTACGACTTGACAACACGACGAGCGACCTGCAAACAATCAGTGCACAGACGTATGCTTGGATTGCTTCCACGCAGCTCCTCGGGTGACAGCGCGCACCTCTCTGTCCTGGCGGCATGCACCGGCCTCCTCCCGGGTCAGCGGCCGGGCGTCCGAGTTGAAGCTGCTCTGGAAGTAGCTGGGGAACAGCCACTGAATCCACGAGTGGTTGCTGTATCAAGGCAGAAGAGCAGCATAACAAGCCTTCCGTGCCGCGCCGTGTGTGTGGTCTTTGCCTACTCTTCGAGCTCAGCGTAGTCGCCGAATCCCCACTTATGAATGTCATCAATGGTCCTGTACCTTCCACTAAAATCAAGGGACACACTACAGCCATGCACCAGGTACCCTAATGCGAAGCGTGACATGCTGACCCGAAGCTGACGGGGTGGTTGTTGCAGTAGAAGGACAGATTGGTGCCGCTCGAGGTGTGCCAGCGGCCTGCTGCTGCCCTGCCGGCGGCGCTGGCGCTGTCGTATACCTTCCTCCAGTGATGACCGGCGTACGGGTCCGGCGTGTACATCGCGAGGGACCAGATAGATTGACAAGGGAAGCACGTTCAGCAGGGATCTGGGAGGACGTCGCCTTGGGTAGAACAATAGGCAGGCAGGGATAGGAGAAGAGATGCAGGAATACATCAGCAGTAGGTAAGGGTGCGAGGAATACAGCAGGAATAGAGCTGGAGAAAGACGGGGGAGCTGCGAACGCAGTGCTGTCCATGTCCATCTTCCTCCAGCACTTGTCTTTCAAATCCGCCATGGGTGCAAATCTCACCAAGAACAACCAAAGCGAGCTGCGCGGCGAGGTGATCGGTCGATTCCATCTCAGAGAGAGCATGATGGCGAAGAGTTATGACTACATCTATGAGGGCTCCACCTCAGACGCCAACAAGCAGGATGGCAAGCGAGGAGACGAGGATTTCTTCCCTCCAGCTGGGTGCTTCAAGTACGCCTTCAAGGTGCCTATTGGCACGTGGCTTGACCGGGACAATGGCTGGCCAGTTGCTTAGTAAGCGCACCACGTACGCACGCACTCCCATGGCCTCGCTTGCCAGCATCTCTCCCCGCGCATGTATATGTACGCAGCCACGGCACTGCGGAGGCGGCTGTGGAGGGCATCATCAAGAAGGGGCTGCTGATCAACGGAGGGGCGGCCACGCCTCCCCACGGTGCGGCATGCGGCCGAGGCATCTACGCATCGCAGACCCTGGACCGGGCTCTCGGCCACGCGGAGGCTTTCAAGCTCAGCTTCCACGGCAACGTCAAGGTCGTCTTCCTGGTCCGTGTGCGCCCTGGCAGCATGTCCAAGCACTGCGGCGGGAAGGTCTGGGTGGTCGACGATGAGGAGAATGTGCGTGTGGTGGCCATGCTTGTCGTGCCAGTGTGACGGCAGACGCCCTTCTTTCGCTTGCTTGCATGTACACTAGAGTTCTGCTGTGCTTCTGCCCGACTCTGGTATCTTGGAAGACAGTAAGACGCCGACTTTTTCATGAGTCCATTCATTGACAGCCTCAATGACAGGTCAGGTGTCGATTGCATGTAACACATGCACGAGTCAACAATGAATGGACTCATGAATTCTCTCCCACATGCAACCAGCCCCACACCCCTTCATGCCTTGACGAGCCCCCTTGCCTTGGGGAAGGCCTTGACGTCATCCGCAGCCCTCTCGTCCTCGCGCGGATCAAATCCGAGCATACCGCCTGTCAGTCAGGACACACAAACACATGCACACAGAGAGAGAGAGCATACTGTGGCTGGTGGCTGACGTACTGGCGGGGTCGGCCTCCTTCATGCCCCGCCCTTTGCGTGAGGCGGTGCCCGGCCGCTTGGACCCTGAACCTCCTGACACTACACGACGCTTCTCGCTACGCTTCTGAATCGACAATAGACCGACCGCACAGACGATATTGATCAGATGACGTGTGAGGTGCAAGATCTTGCCTACCGCACTGCCGCTGCCGCCCGCGGCTGATGGCGGTCTGTCGTTGCGCACGGCCCCACCGTCATCCGTGTACGAGTAATAGACACTACGCTCGAAGTCACTGTATGGACAACGACACAACAAACACAGCCACCAACGGAGAGGATGCCCCAATCTCCATCGCTGGATGAATGGGGGGCATTTTCTGTGTGTGCGTACGTGAATGGCAGCCCAGTGGCGTCATCTGCATCGTTAAGGGCCGCATCTAACGCCGCCTGGATGCTGATAAAGTCAGGCACAAGACAAGAGATCATTCCAGTACGTTTGGTCATTCGTGTGTGTGTGTGTGTGTGTGTGTGTATACTTTTCGGGCATGACTTGCTGCCCCTGGACGTCGGCCCAGTCAGATGTGGTGCGATCGGGGAGGTCCAAATCGTTAGCGATGATGTTGTCATAGCGATACCTAACACGCCAACACCGACACACACACGAGTGGCAGTGCAGTGCTCTAAGGTGTATGGTGCGCGCCACTTCTGTCATTTACTCTTTACCGTGGATTTGTGCCGGCAATGGCGAGTAGTCTCGCCTGCTCGCTCGTGGGACGCGGGAGGCCCAAGGCAGACCCGGGACGCTTGGGACGCCTGACAAACACACACAGACAGACGTGCTGTATGTCTCCTGCATTACGTGGTGTGGTGGATGTGTAGTGGGTACATGTTGTTTCCGGCGAACTCGAGTCTGCTGATGACCCACTCGTCCTCCTCAGCGTCCCACTGGGCACGCTGCTCTATGCGCTGACACACACACACACACACACACACATGGACAGGGATGCGTGTGTGGCTGTGCTGTGCTGTGCCAGCTCTTCATGTGTGTGGATGCCTACATGGTACTCTTCCTCCGGCACGAAGTGTGTGAGAATGACGTTCTTGAGTTTGAGCTCCTTGGTGAGGTCGCGGATGCTCTCCAACATGTCCTCACGCTCCTGCTGAAACTCCTGCAAGGCGACACACATACACACACACACAGACGCAAAGATGTCGGCTGTGTTGTCGGCATGCCTGGGTTTGTTGACCTGCTGCAAGTCCTCTATCTCATTGGATGCGGCCTTGTACTTCTTCCACAGCTTCTCCAGCTTGTTCGTCAGCTTCGATATGTGCTCCTCCTGACAGACAGACAGACACACACACACAAACAGAACGAGTGGACGGACATCAGCCAGCCAAGTGTGTGAGACGCATGTGTGTAGGTTACCTACCTGTGAGTTGTACTTCTCCACTAGTAGCAGTTTTTCCTCCTGCTCTGCCTCACGCTGACGATGCAGCTGAGACTCTGACCGAGAAATAAGCACCCACATACACACGCACCCAGAGTAGGCAGATCGTTGTCTTGATCTTTTCCGCGTTGGCGTACCCCTTTTCCTCCTCTCTTCGATTTCGATTTGCGCCTTTTTGAGTTCCTGCTCCTGCTGCAGGGCCTGCTGCATGACCTGTGTGCCCTGCAGCATCTTGGCCTCCATCGCCTTCAACTTGCCCAGCAACGCCTCCTGAGCCTGTCGCATGGCCGATCAGATTACACACACAGACAGGTCAGGAGATGATTGATGTGTGTGTATTGTATTGTGTGTCTGGGTGGTGCGTGGCGTGCATTGCATACCCTCTTGTGCTCCTCTTCCTGCTCTTCTCTGGACTTGAGTTCCTCCATCAGCCGACGGCGCTCCTCCTCTGCCAAGTTCTTCTGCTGCTCTATCGCCTGCACCAGGCAGGCAGGCACATCACAAACCACACAGACAGACAAATGACGAGTGCCCACTCCGTTCGTTGTTCTTGTTTGTTTCTTTTGTGTTGGTACGTACGTGTCTTTCGTCTTCGAATTGTTTCTGTATGGCCTCCCGCTCGAGGTGCAGGTTCTCCTGCATGCGCTTGATCTCGTCCTCAGACGGCCCCTCACGCACCACCTTCTCCACAACCTTCTCGACAACTACCTGCTTCTCTACCACACCTGCACGCATGGATATACACATTCGGAGACAGAGACATTGATGTTGTCAGCGCGTGTTGGGGGGAGGGTTGTGTGTGAGAGAGTACCCCCTGCGCCGCCCCTAGATTCGAGTTCGGCTTTGAGCCTTGCGATTTCCTCCTGGAACTCGCGGATCATAGCGTCCTTGGGGTCCTCGTTGATGCGGGGCTTGTTCTTGATGCTCTTGGCGCGATACGCATACCTTATCGACCAAACACAGACAGAGAGACGACACAGAGAGGAATTCGCGTCCGGTGCACGACTGGCTGACGTCTGTTTTGACAAACCTGAGCGTGCTGAGCGTTTCGTCATAGTTGTAGTCGGCCGGTCCGATCTGTGCGATCATGACGGTCTTGGTGTTGCCGCCGAGTGAGTCCTGCAGCAGCCGGGTGAGCTTCGAGTCGCGGTAGGGCACAAACCCGTGGGGCGACTTGCTGTCAACCAACGCTGAGATGACGTGACCTGCACACACAGAGAGAGGCGACACAGATGACCAGACACGTGAGTGGTTGTGTGTGCGTCGGTCAGTTAGTGTGTCAAGGAATGGCACACCGAGTGCAGAGAGGGAGAGGTTGATCTTGGTGGCCTCCTTGAGTGTGTCGCCCGTCGACCCCGTCTTGCTCTGCCTGCACACACACACACACACACACGTGTATAGTCAGTCACGGCCTGTCTCTGTGTCTGTCTGTGTGTGCGTAGAGATGGATGGATGTACCTCTCCGAGCCGGCCAGGTCGACCATGTTAAGCTTGCCGGCCCGTATGTGGCTCTTGCCGTCGGGCCCCACCTCAAACGACTCTATCGTGATCGTGAAGATCGAATGAGACCTGCGAAGACACGACAGACGCACACAGGACGGCAGCCAGGAATTGTGTGGATGGAATGTGTGGAGGTGTGGCTGACAGCGCAGCTACCTGGATGACTCGATGTTCATGAGGGTGGCGCCGACGGACCTATTCTTCTGACCAGCCATCTGCACGCAGCAACACACAACACACAACACACAACACACAACACACAACACACAAAGCAGGAAGACAACTGACTGACACGCGTGAAGAATGTAAGGTCTGTCTGTCTTGTCGCCATCTTACCATAACTTGCCGCATCTCAGATACGTCCTTGACGACAAACGTGGACAAATCCTGCAGGCAGACCAAGCACCAAAGCAGCACAAACAAATCCACACACATCCATCCATCCATCCATCCATTGTTGTGTGAGCTATCCAGCCGCGCCGTCTGACCTTGACGTAGACGCCATGGTCTGTGTGGTCTTTGAGCTCCAGCTTCTCCTTCGGATTCTTGGACAGCAAATCGCGGATCTGACCACAGATAGACAGACCGAGGGAGGGAGGGAGGGAGGGATACAGACGTGATATGCCCAGGATTGTGTGCCCATTCATTCTCACCCACCTCTTCATTGTATATCTCCAGGAAGGACGCCCGCACAAGAAATTTCTGCGCGTACGCATCGCATGCCAGAGGAGAGAAATGGTCAGTCAGTCAGTCAGTCAGTGGATCCGCCCCCCTCCTGTTTCTTTCTTTCTTTCTTTCTTTGGCTCACTGACTGACCTTGTCTGTGGTGACGTTGATGTCGTTGAAGATGTGCTCAAAGGCACGGGGGATCACCCCACGGACCTCTGACCATCCAATCCAACACGTACACACGACACGCAACAGAAGGCAAGCAGACAGACAGGCGGGCAGCACCAATCCATCCATCAACCCATCCTCTCTATGATTAAACTATCCATCCATTCCCTTCACCTGGCGGTTTGTCGGGCCCGACCATGGTGTAGGTCTTGCCCGTCCCCGTCTGCCCGTAGGCGAAGATCGTCCCGTTGTACCCCTCCATGACGCTCTCCACTATGGAGAAGGCCGTCTCGTCGTATATCTGCTGCTGCGTGGAGCTGCACGGACGCACACACATACGCATACACATGACCGTCCCATGGTTTGTGGTGTGGGGCTCGCTCACTTCCAGTCGTAGACGGCGTCGTATGTGAAGTCCTTGGTGGCATCCCGCCCGCCGGACCCCTTGAACACCGTCACCATGGCGTTCTTGACGTCCATCTCCACCACACGCACACGCCCGTCCGCCACCTCCTGCTCGCTCATCGGCCGACACCTGCACACATCAAAAACACGCCACAAACAAGGCCATTTCACACGATTTGGAGGGCATCGGAGTGTATTCTCCGCCAGAGCGTCGGTGTGTTGCCCTGTGTTCACCTGATGATGACCCGCACGCATTCGGCTTTGTTGGAGAGGGCCATTTCTGAATCTGCTGGCTATTCGACGGCAAAAGAGGAACTTTGATGGAGGGAAAACAGCCGACTACTGATCTATGGAGCGCTCCCGCGTAGTCGGCACCACAATCTCAGGTGCGCCTCGTAAACTTTTGATCAGCGATCTCTCCCTCCCCTCCCCTCTCCTTCCTGCGGGCTTTGCGCTCGGTGATAGATACGACGATGGATTGAATCAAAAGCAAATGCATCCCGGCCATGGAAGGCCGGAACGCGAAAGGCGCAGCAAGAGGTTTCGATCCTCTGACCTGTGGGTGTCCCTGCATATGAGCCCACCACTCTCCCACTGAGCTATGCTGCGTGTGCCTCTTTGCGGTGCGAGTCCTTCCACAGACAAGCTGGCGCTGCCACCATCACTTCGACCAGCATCACTGCGAGATCATCGCCGGTAGAGATGGATGCTGGCAGCGGGACGTCTGTGAGTAGCCGCCGGCGTTGAGAGATCCAACACCACGCTGGACCGCACGCGGCTTCTTGAGGCCGTCTTCCCATCTGTACGAGAACTAAGCCCCTCCCTGGCCCTCCGCGTCCCCGGCAACATGGCGCATCGACAGTCGCCAGTGGCGTGGGCGGAGGAGGCCGTCTTCTACCACATCTATCCGCTGGGACTCCTCGACGCCCCGCTGCGGAATGACCACAAGAGCGAGCCCGTCGAGCGGCTGCTCAAGCTCATTGACCCGCAGGAGGGATGGCTGGCGCACCTGCAGGAACTGGGCGTCACGGCCGTCTACTTTGGACCACTCTTCGAGTCCACCACGCACGGATACGACACCGTCGACTATGGCGTGGTACACACGTGTATATGTGTTCGCTCCCACCAGGCAGCACAACAGGCGATTCCTTCTGCTCTCTTGTCGGCATGGTGTGTGCGCTGTCAGGTTGACCGTCGTCTGGGCACCAACGACACCCTGCGTCGTGTGGTTCGTGAGTTCAAGCGTCACCACATCCGTGTGGTCTTCGATGGCGTCTTCAACCACGTGGGCGAGAAGTTCTTCGCCATGCAGGACATCCTCGAGAAGCGCGAGAGCTCCCAGTACAAGACCTGGATCGACGGCCTCAAGTTCGGCCCCCACGGCAAGATCGACTACAACTGTTGGGGCGGCTTCAAATTCCTCCCGAAGCTCAATCTCAAGGAGCCTGCTGTCGCCAAACACCTACTCGACAAGGTGAGAAGAAAGAAGGGCATGGTGTGTTTGTTCGCTTGATGGCTGTGTCGGATGTGTGTGTGTCAGGTTCGGTATTGGATTGAGCATTTCGAGCTGGATGGGCTGCGTCTGGATGCGGCCGACTGTGTGGACCTGGCCTTCCTGCGCACACTGCGGGAGCACTGCTACGCACTCAAACGGTCCTTCTGGCTCATGGGAGAGATCATCCACGGCGACTACAACCGGTACGTACGTGCGGTGTGTACCCACACACAAAGGAACACGCCAGTGTGTGTGGCGGCGGGGCGGGGCATGTTTGTTGTGTGTGTGTGTTGGGTTGGATTTGATTGCAGGTGGGCCAACGCGTACACGCTTCATTCGGTGACGAACTACGAGGTGTACAAGGGCCTGTGGTCGAGCTGCAACGACAAGAACATGTTTGAACTCGGGCACTCCATGCAGAGGCAGTTCCAGACAGAGTAAGCGTCAGATGGCCATGCAGGCGTCAACTAACACACTCACGGGCCAAGGTCCATCCCCCACTCCACTGCATATATGTGTGTGTGTGTGTGTGTGTGCAGGGCCGGCAAGTACTACGGCTTATACTTGTACAACTTCGCTGACAACCATGACGTCAATCGGGTGGGGCGGATACCACAATGCACTGCATACGAGAGCTGTATGTATTCTGACGTCCGTTGCCTCTCTGCGTGCCTGCAGGTCATCAGTACGCTCAAGAATCGTGTGCACGTCTTCCCCCTGCACATCCTGCTCTTCACCATTCCAGGAATTCCGTCCATCTACTACGGCAGGCAAGAACACACACAACACGACACAACACAATCACGCCCTCTGCCGTCTTCCATGAGGGAGTTTTTGGCCCTCTCCCTCTCTCTCTTTGTGGATGCAGTGAGTTCGGCATTGTGGGCAAGAAGGCCGAGGGCAGCAGTGACGTCGACGGCCCCCTGCGGCCGGCCTTCTCCCTCCCCGCCGCCAAGAAGGGCCTCAGCACCACGGCATACCCATCCCTCGCACACCTCATCAAGAAGCTATCGGCCATCCGGGAGGCATTTCCCGCCCTCAAGAGGGGCGACTATTGCGAAGTGGTCCTCAGAAACGAATACTACGCCCTGGGCAGAAAGGTGAGTGAGGGGAGGGGACGACAGACAGGGGAAGGAAGGCAATTTGCTGATGGAAGGATATGTTGTGTGCTGTGTTGTGCGTGTGTGCGTGCGTGTGATGGTCTGTGCGCAGCTGGGCGACCAGGTGGTGGTGGTTGTGGTGAATGTCGACGACAAGGACGCAACCGTCACCATACCACAACACGTACGTCACGTGTGTATGCAGCGCAGCGAGCAGCAACCCCTCTGGTGGACGCCTCTGTCCTCATGGCTGTTGCCTGCCTGCCTGCCTGCCTGCCTCTGTCTCGCTGTACAGGTGTTTGGTGCATCGAGCCGTCGCGTTATGGATGTGCTCAACAACAGCGAGGTGTTCGAGGCGGCCGGCCACGGTCATGGACAGCACCATGGCCATGGCGGCATCACCGTCACTGTTCAGCCTGCATGGGGGCGGATCCTGGTCAGAAGCCACCTCGCAATACATACACAGAGAGAGCCCTGGGGCCAGACAACAATGAATGAATGAAGAGTTTGTTGTGTGATTTATGTTGTGTGGTGGTGATATTCAGGCTCCCTTGGAGCAAGTGCCCCTGGACGGCGACGCGTCCCCGACCGACAATTCCCTGACGGCATCATTCCACACCATGACCGTCACGCCACCAGAATACACACCACCACCAGGTGAGTCAAGATTGACCAACACACGGGCGAGGACACACAGGGGACACCAGTGACCTGTCCGCCTGCCGCGTGTCTGTTCAGCAGCCGCGCCCCCCTCCCAGCCCCCGACCCGTGCGACCAAGCCGCAGCAGCAGCAGCAGCAGCAAGCCCAGGTGCCCCCACCGATGCCAGCTCCCCCCCAGCCGCAGGTGGCCCCCGCCCCCCCTCCACCGCGACAGCCACACGCACCAGACGTCCCCGCATGGGCAAGGGACGGCTTCTTCTACCACATCTATCCGCTGGGCTTCTGCGGCGCGCCACACAACAACGACCTCACCGCTGCGCCGGAGGAGCGGCTGCTCAAGGTCATCGACCCTGAGAAGGACGGGGGCACGTCCTGGCTGGACCACCTGGCCTCTCTGGGCGTGACGGCACTGTATATCGGTCCGCTGTTCGAGTCGTCGTTCCACGGCTACGACACGGCCGACTACGGGAAGGTGGACCGGCGGCTGGGGACCGCCGCCACGCTCAAGAAGGTGGTAAAGGCGTGTCACGCCAAGGGCATCAAGGTGGTGGTCGACGGGGTCTTCAACCACGTGGGCCGGGACTTCTTCGCCATGAAAGACATCATCGAGAAGAAGGACAAGTCGGCGTACGTCAAGTGGATCTCTGGCGTCAAGTTCGGCAAGGCGGGCGAGGTGGAGTATGACTGCTGGCACGGGTACAAGGAGCTGCCGAAGCTCAACCTGGGCGAGAGGGAGGTGGTGGACCACCTGCTGGGCAAGGTGGGGGAGTGGATCGACGAGTACGAAATCGACGGGCTGCGGCTGGACGTGGCCTTCTGCCTCACCAAGGAGTTCCTCACCGAGCTGTCAACCGTCTGCAAGGGCAAGAAGACCGACTTCTTCCTCCTGTCCGAGGTCATCCACGACAACTACAATGAGTGAGCGAAGCGACCCGAGCCACTTAATTAGGGGGAGGACAGAGAGAGGGCGGGGAGAGGGGGGAGGCATCCAAATGAGCGCCATGTGTCTGTGCCTGTGTGTGTGTGTGTGTGTGTGTGTGGTCAGCTTTGCGTGTCAGGGCCGGACTGATTCGGTGACGAACTACGAGACGTGGAAGGGGTTTTGGTCGAGCTGCAACGACCGCAATCTGTTTGAGATTGCGCACTCACTGCAGAGGCAATACGACCAACAGTGAGCTGACCGACCCACTGACGAAGGGAGGGAAGCTGTGACTTTGTGAACGGCTGTTGTTGGTCGTGTCTGCTGTGCAGGCATGGTTTGTTCAAGGACCTGGTCCTCTACAATTTTCTGGACAACCATGACGTCAACCGAGTGAGCACTCCACTCACTGCCCTGCCCAACACACACACTCAACGCACACTTGAACCAACCGGTATGGACGGTTCACTGCAGATAGCGAGCCACCTGCGCGACCCGGCCCACCTGTACCCCCTTCACCTCCTGCTCTTCACCATGCCCGGCATACCCTCCATCTACTACGGCAGGCAAGACAAGACCATCGATGGCCCCACACACACGCACACACAGAGCAGCAGAGCCCTCCATCCGGCCATGCCACGTGTCTCGCCTCTCTTGCGTGGCTGCCTGCAGTGAGTTCGGTGTGCAAGGCAAGAAGGGTGTAGGGTCCCCTCCAGGCTACGACGACGCCCCCCTGCGGCCTGCCCTCACCATGGCCGAGTGTGTGGGCGGCAAGCCGCCCCGCTTCCACCCCGACCTCGTGCCCGTCATCCAGAAGGTGGCCAAGATCCGCAGCGAGAGCGCTGCACTCAAGCAGGGCAGCTACCACACCGTCCACATCGCCTCAGAGGTCTTCGCTTTCGCCAGAGTGGTCAGTTTGGCTTGTCGGCCGGCAGAGAGAGGAGGGAACGATCAACATGTGTGACGGCCACGTGTTGTCTGTCTGTGGATGGATGGAATGAAATGCAGCACGAGAGTGAGATGGTGGTTGTGGCCATCAACATATCGGGCTTCGAGAAGACCATCCCACTGCAGGCAAGTGACCTGACCCCATCTCACACACGAATTACATGACCTGCGCATAGCATACGGACTCATCGATCCGCATCTCACGCACTCCTGTGTGTCAGTTGAGCAAGGTGGCTGGCCTGACGTCGATCCCCATGGGCCCACAGAGCAAGCTGGTAGACGTGCTCAACAACGGTGACTCATTCGGGCTGCTCGACGCCGAGGAGGAGGTCACCATCTACCCCACTTGGGGCAGGATACTCAAGCTCACACTATGAGATGGAGTGGTGCGCTGTCCACTTTGGGGATGTCGCATCCACACCGCACCGCACGTCACTTCACACACATACTCGCTATTTAAGATGGCCAGCCGAGTTGGTGTGGTCTTTGCTCATGCTAGCGCTACTGAGTACCTACGGTGGGGACATGTTGGTCTGGATGGATGGATGGATGGTCGCTGTGTGGTGTGGTGTGGTGCACATTGGTGCAGCCACTAGCTAGCGAGGCAGACAGCCTTGTTGTACCTGTTTGTTTCTCCTTGTCTGATTCTGTAAGTTTTGCCGGCGAGTGTCCCTGTCCCCTGTCTGTATCAGTGAGTGCATCAACCCAATCGATGACTACTTACTTTAATGTGTATACACCTTCCTTACGCATCCGCCTCTCTCTCTCGCTCTCTCTCTCTCTCTGTGTGTGTGTGTGTGTGTGTGTTTACGCGTTCACTACGCCCGCACAGACGAACCGCATTGCAGTCAGTCTCCCTCACGTACTTATATCACGGTTTTGGCGTACGGTACGCAATTGATCCATCCCTCCATCCGTCTATGGACAGATCGGCAGGTAGGCAGATAGACAGATCAGCCTCGCTCGTTGCTCCGAGGTCGGTCAACGGCGCTGTCTCCTGGCCTGCCTGCATCATCCTGCTGCCCTCTGGCTGAGAGAAGGGAGACAACACCATTGACTGACGTACGAAAAGCCAGCGCCGGGGACACCATAGGGACGCCGCGGTGACGGACGGACACATACCACATTAATTTCATGCCGGTGTCCATCAATGTAATGTCAGTCAATGGATTCATCATTCACAGTCACCCGTATCCACAGGGGCTACACACACACACTCCTTGACTGACCCCGGACGGAAAAACACACAGGGCAGCATATACAGGGTGGTCGAACAAAAATACCTCTACACGACAAACGTCGTGATTGCGCGGGAAATGACAGCCTCGTCCAGGTCGTATTTCCCCAAGAAGCACCTCACCCGCGGCATTGTCACGGGGAACCGGGCGTTGAATGGTGCGGACTTGCCGGCAGCAGGCGGCTCGGTCGTGAACAGCTCGATACCGCCCATCCCCATCATCAGATACACAGCGATGGTGTCGGTGTCTCTAAAGCCGCTGCACCCATGGAAAGACAAGCAGCACACGGACAAGGAATGGTGGCACAATCAGTCAGCAGAGAGAGGGGATCAGTTCCCCAGTGTACCTGATGGCGATGAATCGGTAGCTGGTCTGCAAACAGTTCAGCAGGGTGAGCTGTCCTGGCAGCTCCCCAGGCAGCGCGCCCCCCATGCAGCACTCCGCCACGATGCCGTCCTCCTCCCCAACGCCATCCCGCAGCAACCTGCGATACCGATTGTCGCCTCGCTCGATCGCCGCGTGTAGCACCCTCGTCTCGGTCACACCCTCAGCCCTGAAACGGCCCAAACAAATGAGAGGAAGGCAGTCCAAGTGCCTCATTATGTATGCGTCAGTATTCTTGTCTCTCTCACTTGTTCCAGTGCTCAAAAATGTTGCGGACTATGAAGGCCGAATAGCTGGGATACAGCGCGACGCCCTCCTGGACGGCAGGGTCTTCCGCATTGAGGCAACGGCGGTAGGGATGCTCTGGCGGCAGTTCATCCACCACGCGCACCATTTTGAAGCGTAACGCATCGCCGATCCGAAACGCACCGCTCGTTTGCCTGCGCAACGCCTGACACACGCAAACAGAGAGAACACACCCAAAGCCCTGTATGTCGGCGTCGGTCGGTCTGTCTGTCTGTCTGCGCATCCATACCAGGTTGGTCCCCTGATAGTTGAGCTGGTGGCCGATGATCTTCTTGTAGATGGCCATGGCGAGGGGCAGCTCGATGAAGGACGCTTTGGTGGGCAGGTAGGTCAGCACGCGGGCCGCCGTCACAAGGATGGGCATCTGCTCAGGCGTCAAGCGGTAGATGCGCGCCAGTCTGAGCGCCTTGCCCATCGCTCTCCACTCACGTCGCCCCATCCCCAGCAAGCAGGCGCACCGCAGCAGATAGCTGAACCGGCTGATGCCCTTGGGCATGGCAGGATGCCCGGCGGTGCCCCTCCGTCGCTCCACATCAATGAGGCCGACGAGACCGTTGCGACCCAGTGCGCGGTCGATGCGATGAAGGATGACATCGGCCGTGACGACGAGACTGCCGCTCCGCGAGGTGGCGCGGACGGCGAGAAGGTCCAGTAGGGCCGGCTCGTGAACGATTAGAAGAATGCGATTCAACCAAATGTCACTACCCAGCACGTGCGCCATCCCGGCCCAAGTTTTGCTTGACTGAGATCACGCTTTCCTTCGCACGTTCTGCTTTCCAAAGCTCGCAAGAAGGCTTCTAGGGTGCTCCCTGAAACCGCTGTCGCAAAGTTTTCCAAGAGGCTTCCTTCCGCGCCCTTCAAGGTCAGAGAATGGTTCAAGACGATGAGAAGACGGCGTGGCTTGCGAGTCATCAACCGCCGAGCCTCGCGTGTGACTTCCTCTGACACCCCGGCACTCTCTTTTTTTTGCCTGAAGCTCTCGTCACTATCCCGATGGCGTCACTGGTGGACCTCGCCCATCTCTGCTGCATCCTTTCAGTATTTGGGTTCGTCCTGCTCACTCTGTGGGGCCTCCTGCTGGTGACACACTCCCCGCCCTTTGCTCTTGAGGTGGCACCGGAGCATCGCACGTCAGGCGGCATCAGCTGCATCCTGGCTGGCCTGGGGTACCTGGCGTGTCTGGTGTTGTCGTGGCGGTACATCCGGCGGTCTCGGCAGCGGCGTGGGTGGAATGGGGGCCGTGATGATGAGAGGGAGGTGGAGCTGCGGTCGCTGCTGGGGAGTGGGGGGAGGGAGAGGCCGCGCATGCCCAGCCTGTGAGTGATGAAGGAATGCCGTCGCCCGGCCAGACCAGCGTGCAGGAGGCGGCGAGCGACGGGCGGGATGGCGATGATTCATCAGGGAGTGGCGTGTCTGCCTATCCCTCCCTATGTTTATTTGTGGAGCCATCCCATCAATCAATCGGTGCTGGTTGGGTGGGGTCGGGTCGGCTGGCTGCTTACGCGTGGCGGTGCTGATACATAGACTATAGGGATTAGCCATCCACTCTCTCTGCCGCCGCCATCTCTGTGTGCGGGTGCGGTTGGTTGGGTCAGCCCTCGTTGCTTGTCACCTGCTTCGATCTCTCGACCTTGCTGAGCATTATGCATTCCGCAATCCCATCTTATCTTGCCTTCCCTTCCCTTCCCTCCTGGCTCGCATGTGGTCTGGTTTCGACCTCGCCAATGACAGGTCGGTTGCAGCGGCAGCTTTGTGTGTGGACGGTCACAGCGTCGCACTGTCCTGCTACCTTGTCCTGTCAACTTGTGTGGTTGTAGGCTGTGAAACGAATGGCTGGCTGTGCTGCTGTCCATCTGCTGCTAGAAGAGTCAGCCAGGACAGCAATTGCTGTATGCGCAGGGCCGTGTTCTGTCTGTTGTCTTTGACACAAGCGGTGAGAGGGGGTGAGGGTGGGATTGAATTGCATCTAATGTTGTGGGTGGCCATGAATGAGGACGCTAGCTAGCTGTATTATGAATCATCATCTCTCAATCCATCCATAGACTTGCTGAAGCCTGAATCGATCTCAACTCGTTTGAGACATTCTGACGAGCCTCTGTGTGTCCAGCCAGCCAGCCAGCCGTGTTCACAGTCACTAGCGATACACACACAACACACGCCACTCAGTCCGGCCCACACCAGCCAGCCAGCCAAGCCCGTCTGTGTCAGCCATCCCTCCATCCCTCCATGCGCTCACCCTCTCTCTCTCACCACAACACCTCCACTACAGCCGTAGTGTCCGCGCATACGGCTGCCTCTGTCTGTTGAGGGAGGGGTGGACGGCGAATCTGGCTTGATTTGTGCAGGCAGGTCGGTTGATTGAGAGAAGGGAGGGATGTGGATCGAAAGAGAGAAAGGGGTAGGTGAGAGAGAGAGAGAGAGAGAGAGAGACAGACACGAGTGCATCGCGGGCATGCCATACGAATCCATCCATCCATCCATTCATCCATCCATTCCACTTGGAAAACGGACAAGCGTTCATTCATTCGTTCGACAGCCAGCCAGCCAGCCAGCCGTTCACTGCCACTCCCCCTCTGCCCACTGCGGTCGGTATTCCCTCCCTCCCTCCCTCTCTCCCTCCCTCCCTCTCACTTTTCTCTCTTCCCTCCCTCACGTCAGTGTGTGTGTATGTAAGCCATGCGTGATGTGTGTGTGTCTCTAGAACGGTGTCTGGTGTGTATGGTGTGGTGTGGTGTGGTGTGTTGATCAGTCGTCCTGGTCCTGTTCCTCCTCCTGGTCCTGCTGCTGCTGGTTGTTGCGGCGCTTGGAGGGGAAGGGCAGCAGCTCGTAGAGGCGCTCCACTATCGTCTGCTTGGTGTCCTTGCGCTTCACCTCCAACCCACGCTTCTGCACACATACACACACACACACACACACGGACGCACAGATGCACTCACTGCAGTTAAGAGGTATGTATGATTTGTGAGAGAATAATGGTACCTACCTCCGCGAACTGGATGAGCGAGTCTTTCTTGTACATGCTGACCCAGTCCTTCATGTCCGCAGCGTGCAACGGCGTCTTCTGCACACACACAGACACAGCCACACACGCACACAACGGAGAGACGCATGCACACCTGCTTGCCCTTGTTCGTCTGTGGCTATCTCGGTGTCTGACCGGCTCGACGTCTAGTTTGGTCTTCTTCTTGGCCTGGATGGGAGGGGTGCGGTCGCCCTGCTCCTCCTGCGGCTGGGGCGAGGGGCCCTTCGCCTCGTCGTCGCTCTCCATCGGCCCCACACCAGCACCCGCCGCCGCCGCCGCCGCCGCAGCAGCAGCAGCCCCGCCCTCCTCCTGCTCATCGTCCTCATGACGACGCTTGCCGGCACGCTTCTTGACCTATTAGATGGACAGCACCCCGCACAGACGGGGGAAATGAGTATCGTGTTCTGGTGTTGTGAATGGTTGGCTGGGCTGATTGGTTGGTCGGAGGGTGGCTGGCCTGACCTTTTTGTCGTCCTTGTGTTGGTCGGTGCCCTTCTTGCCGCGCCTCTTGGCGGCCGCTCCGGCAACTCCAATACCTACGCCTACGCCAGCGCCCCCCTCATGCACGCCCTCCGGCCCCGACTCCACCCCAAGCCCCTCGCCCTTCTCGCTATCCTTCTTGCCTCCACGGCCCCCCACACGACGGTCCCGCCCACGGCCGCCGCCCCTGGGCACCACGGCTGCAGCTGCCGCAGCTGCTGCGAGCGGCTCGCCGTCGTCGTCGAGTATGTCGTCCTGGCTGCCACTGGGCTTCTTGCCGACCCCCGGGGCCTTGGCCTGGTGGGGGTGGTGTTTGGGGTCGCCTCGGGCAGGTGCACCTGCCGCTGCCGCTGCCGCTGCTGCGCCAGACGGCTGTGGCATGGCACGCTCCAACTCAGCCAACTTGGTCTCCAACTGACACGACAGCACACACACATGCCCAGAGAGAGAGGGAGAGAGAGGGAGACATGGGTGTGTGGATGGATGTGTCGATGAATGCGGTGGGTTCAGGTCTTGTCTACCATAGCATGCATACCTCAGTACACTTTTTCTGCAGGTCGGTGAGATCCTTCGCTTTGCCCTCGAGCTCCCTGGCCGCCGTGTTGTACTTGTCCTCCATACGACGATACAGCTGAACAATCCAATCCAATCCACACATACAAACAAGCATGGACGGACAGATTGCTCTGCGCATTTGTGTGTGTGTGTGTGTGTGTGTCGTATTGCCCACTGACGTCGTCGGCGGCCCTTTTCTGGTCCTCTGCCGCCTTTTTGTGCTGCTCGAGGGATTGTTTGTACTGCTCGGCCGTCCTCTGATGTGTCTCGACGGCATTGCGCAGTTCGGCACCGGCACTCTCGACATTGCGAAGACGCTCCTGGAACTGATGAACACACAAACAAGCCTGAATGGGTGGATGGAGGGGTGGGGTGGGGTGGGTGAGAGGGGGGAGTCGGGACGTACCTCTGCGGCTTTCTTGTCTGCTTGGTGCTTAGCCTCCTGCTGCCCTTGCAGGGCCTTGCTGACCTGACCGAATGAATGGAATGGAATGGACTACACCACACCATACATGGCAGGCCTCATGGCAGACCAGACCCGCCTTTGTTTGTTGTTTGTGTCCGCCTACATGTACCTCCTCTGCGCGTCTGTCGGCCTTGCTGAGGGCCTCTCGGAGAGCGCAGCTTTCCTTATGAACCTGGATGGACGGACACACACACACACACACATACAAGAAAAAGGTGGACACCGTTCCCCCCATTGCCCCCTGCCCACCTTCTGTGTGTCCTGGTCAGCTTTGGTCTTTGCATCGCGGGCCGCCTGCAGGTCCCTCTCCAATACGGCTACCTGGACACGCAGAGGTGGAGGGAAAAAGGCAGAGAAAACGATCAGATGAATCAGGTCTGTCGATGGCGATGAGATGCATTCATCCAGGTGTGTGTGTACCTTGTTGGTGTTGCTGCGGGCCTTCTCGAGTTGCTCGCGGAGGGCACGGCTCTGCTGCTCCAGCTGAAGAGCGACGTTAGTTAGCAACACAATGAATGGGGGCTTTCGTGGGTGTGTGACCTGTTTGGTCTCAGCCTGGGACTTCTGCGTCACCTCCGCCAATTTCAACTCGCTAGACTCGTGCAGCTGACGTACATACATACATACATACACACAGACAGACAGACAGACAGGAGAACGGAAATAATGTCTAGGTGTGTGCGGTGTTCTTCGTCTTCCTTCTCTCCGTTTCTTCTCACCGCTCGTATTTTGAGTTCTAGGTCCGCCTTGGCCTGGTCCATGGCCCGTGAGAGCTTCTGCTGACTCTCACGCTCAACCTGCAAAGTCACAAACACACATGGACACCCACACAGTACCAATACCCAAATGGCGGTCCCCCTCCTCTCTGCGACAGCTAGCCTACCTGTTGGATGTGTTGTGTGTGTTGAGTCTGCAGGTCGCTGATGCGCCGCTCCAACTCGCCCTTCTCGCTAGACAGCTGCACGACAGCCACACCCACACATCCACACACACGGAGGGAGGGAGGGAGGGATGCATGCATGCATTCACCTGGGTGATCTGCTCCCGCATCTGTGTGACGGCCTCCTCCCCGACCATCTGGGCCTTGACGCGCACCAGCTCCTCCTGCAGTTCGTCGGTCTCAGCAGCCTTGGCACGCGCCTGACAACACACCAACACAACACGTACAGGCGTCCAGATGAATGGGGCATGAGTGAATGGATCGATGGATGGACTCATGTCGTGTTGCTTTGCTGATGTCGGCGCAGCGCGTTTTAACCTCATCGTGTTTGTGCTTGAGTTGCTCGAATTGTTTGGCGAGCTCCTCCTGCGTGGTGAGTTTGCGCTTTAGCTCACTGACCTCCTCAGCCAACACACGCGCCCGGTCGTTGGCGGCCCTCAACGCCTTCTCGTGCCTACACAAAGGAAGGATGCATGACACAACAACACATCTGTGCACGTAAAGCGGGGGGATGCTTACGCCTCCTGGATGCGGACGTTATCCGCAGCGATGATCTGGCGAATCTCGCGCTCACGATCCTTGAGGATCTTCTGCAGTGTCGCAAACAACCAACACCCCACCCCACCCCACACCACACCGCACACACATTTGATGATGGCGGGTCTAGCACTGGATGGGATGGTGCGGTGTGGTGGAGTGGCGTGCGTACGTCTTCGTATAGTTTGCGCGTTTCGTAGTCGGACCAGGCCATGACGTTGTTCCACTGCTGGTTCACCAGCCGCAGGTGGCCGTCGTAACCGTACTGCAAACACACCACAAAAGGACCCATCCATCCATCCATCCATCCATGAGACACATCATGCAGATGAATCCGACCATCCAATGGATGCATCCCGTCCCCTCTGCCCCCTCACCTCGTCGTGGAGCTGCACGTGCCGTTTCGCCCACTCCGCAGGCGGCACGATGTCATCCTTGGGACGAGTGACGACCATCCCCAGGATGCGGTCCGACTCGGTGGTGGCGCGGGCAGCCTGAGGCTGGCCCTGAGCCTGATTCTGAGAGATGAGCTGGCGGGCATCCTGCGTCGACGCCGACAGCGAAGCCTCCTGCGACTGTTGGCGTGGCCGGGCCAGGCTGGGTACTGCTCCCAAGGTGGAAGGCAACATAGCGATAGAAACGAGTTCAGCAGAAACTTAACGCATCCTCCTCGCCCCCCTGGCTCGCACCGTTTTCCGGGGAGTTTACCAAGCAGGGCCTTGGGATTCATCGCACGGGCAGTCGTTTCGGTGTGTGGATGGAGGGTAAGGAGCCTGCTGTAATATGCGTCCACAGGCCCGGCGCATCTCTGTATTTTCTCTGTTGGTGTGTTGGTGGCGGCTGAGTGAGAGGTCCAGAGATCTCCGGCGTGCGAACAAAGATGACGCGTGATCTGCTGCCGTACACGTGCCCGCCCCCCGGCGCCCAGCAGCAGCAGCAGCAGCAGCAGCAGCAGCAAAAGGAGGGGCAGAAACGCGCGGGGCTCAACCCAGATGCGCCGCCCTTTCTGTTCCCCAGCCACAGCCACACTGCAGCGACCACCAGCACCATCCCAGAAAAGGCCACACCGCCCGGCAAGCAGCCACAGGACCATTACTACCTGAGCCAACACGAGCTGCCCCTGTTCAGAACGGTCAGCAGGTCTTGTTTGCGTATCGGGTGGATGGATGGACCGTATGTGTGCAATGTGTCTGTCATGTGTCAGTTGGTGTGCGAGGAGTATCGTATCTACGGCTGGTGTGCCCGTGGGGCTGACCGGTGCCCACACAGCCACTGCCTGGCGTGGCAGCGACGCAACCCGCAGGTCGTTCCATACGGGTGGGTCAGCAGCACCAATGACGCACACACATACATGGAGTGATGAAATGGGAAACAGGGCGTGCGCATCCATCTCTAAGAGATGTGTGTGTGTGTGTGTGTGTGTGTGCGCAGGTTCGAGCTGTGTCCGTACATATCGTTTGTGAAGAAGGATGGCAAGATGCGCCTCATCAACGACTGCAGACGCAAAAGATGGGTAGGCCATTGAGCGGGGGGAGGGGAGAGGGGGGGGCAGAGAGCAGAGCAAAGGCACGAACGTATACACACGTGCCGACTTGATATGTTGTGTCACTGCGGTCGATGGGCGTCTGTCTGTCTGTTTGCGTGTGCCTGTGCGTGTGCGGTGCAGTGCAAGTATTCGCACACCAAGGAGGAGCAGCTGTACCACCCCAGCACGTACAAGACCAAGTACTGCCAGGCATCGCCATGCACACGATTCTTCTGCCCGTTCGGTCGGTACCACAAACAACACATATCACTCACGCATACAGACGACAACAAACAGCACAACACACAAACCTCCTTGCTTCTTCCCCTCCTGCATCAATCCATCAGCCCACAGTGAGGCGGAGTTGCGCAGCAGCGAAAACGACGCCTACCAGTCGCCAGAAGTGCCACTCCCTCCGCCACCCCCACCCCCACCACCCCCTCCCCCTCCCCCTCCCGTGACACAGATCGACAACACATACACCACCATAGACAGCCCGGCCATGGACGACAGCACGCCCTTCTCCTACCCCTCCAGCATGCCGATGCGCGGTGGCGGGGTGTTCGGCATGCATGGTGCGGGCAACAATGTGGTCAGTGTGGGGGCGCGGGGGGGGACGGGTGTATCGGGGCTGGGGATGGGGGAAGGTCTGGGAGGGGGGTATGCATGCGGCTATGGGAATGATGGTTATCGCGGGTATCCTGACCCCCCTCCCCCCAAGTATGCCTTTGTGCACTTTCGCAAGCCGGGGGACGCAGTGCCGCCCCCCTATGAATACGATCCACGGAAGGTGCACACCAGGGGAGGGAGCACCAGGGGAGGGAGGGAGGGAAGAAACAGCGAGAGACAGACAGAGAAAAGAAAGAGCCGCAGGTTGGTTGCTATGCTATTCTGATTTTGTGTTGGTTGGTCTCTGATCTCTGCTCTGCAATGAGTGCAGGATCCAGCGATAGCTCAGAAGCCAGTAATGCGGATGGACAAGCGGACGGACAAGCGTGCCGCCGCACCACCCAAGCCACGGACCAGCAGCAACACCCCCCGCCCCCCGTCCACACACCGACCCATCACGACCACCAGCAGCACCAGCCATTACTCGGCCTACTCGACTGCGAGCCACACGCCCTTCCCCGAGATGCAGTTGCAGGTGCAGCAGGACCAGGACCACACCCACTCCCACCACAAGCACCTGCCGGCCATCAGAGAGACCGTCGGCACCACTGACGGCGGCACAACAATGGCATTGGGGTGTGTGTCTCTGCCGTATGGGGCGCTCAAGGCCAACATGGTGGAGCCGGCAGGGGAGGAGGATAGCAACAGCAGCCATAGCAGCAATGAAGAGATAGACGAGCACATAGAAGCTGACGACGGCGAGTGGACCGATGTGGGCGGGGAGGAGGAGACACACTAGACAGAGAGGGTGTGTGGGAGGCGCGGAGGTAGGGTGGTATTGTGTGCTGGTTGATGGAATGCTCATGCATGTCATTGACTGACTAGCTGGTCGGTGCAGCGTGTGTTAACTGATGGATGGATGGATGAATGCCCCCTTTAGCATGCACGCCATGCATCAAGAAGGCAGCGAGGAGGCATTGCTCGGGCACCGCACGCAAGGCCGTCCATTCCATTCCTTCATTGGCAAACCGAAACTCCATCCATCCGTCCAATGCCTGGTCTGTCATTCAGGCAGGGATGTCCATCAATTAACCTTCTCGCCAGACGCAAGCACAGACACATCGGCGGGCGGGCAAAATGGTCCTTATTAGCTGGAAGCACCCTTCTCTCTGTCTCGCTCACCATCGGTATATGACGCATCGACGCACTAAATCACCGGCCACTCACTCATGCCATGCACACAGCTGCACACACAGACACGAGAAAGAGGGGGCTGGCTCACTCAGTACACAGATGGCCTGTCACTTGAGCCCAAAAACGCCACACACATCACATCAGATGACACAACCCGGCCCACCCAGGCCAGGCAGGGGGCACGGCATATGCACATGGCAGGCAGACAGGCAGGGAATGCTGGCAAGCAGGTGGACAAATAGACCAGCTGCTCACCTCGGATCAATCTTGGCTGGCTGCCGTAGGCTAGGTGGTGTGCTGCACGTGGCTACCGTACTCATCCCTCCCTCCCTCGGCAACACCGCAGTACGTACGCACAGTGCAGTCAGTATAGTCTGTACGCATGGCATGCACTGCGCCGTCCGTGCAGTGTGTGTGTGTGTGTGTGTGGATCAGAACGGACTTGCCTGTCTCCTCGCCTTGCCCCCCCGCCCCGACCCCCATTTGCTCGGACTGCCTGGCGGATGCCCACTCGCCGATGTGTTGGCATCCGTGGCGATCTGCAGACCACCACCCACACCCCCCTGGCCCGACCCCGAACGCCCTTCGCCTATTCTCCCCCTGGACTTGTTGCTGCCGGGGCTTTCCCGCCGGCTGCCGGCCTCTGCAGCTGTGGAGGCCTGCTGGTGACTGCTGCTGATGGGGAGGGGGGCTGGCAGGGGCGCCTTTGCGGCCTTCTTGTCCTTCTCACGAGACAATTTGGCAGCAGGAGTGTAGAAGGCCATGCCACCTAACACCACACACACAGACAGAGACGGGGGGGGGAGGGGGGGAGGGACAGATGAGGTCAGCTGAGCTTGCCGGGTGTGACTTGACTTGGTGTGATGGGCTGTTTCGTTTCCCACCTGTTATGAATATGTTGTCTTTGTCGGACGTACTGACGGCCGTGTACTTGAGCCGATGACCCTCACGGTAAAAGACATAATGCTGGACAGACAGACAGACAGACACAGACAGGTGCAACGCGCTCTTCGTTGCCGCACATCATGGCAGGTCAGGTAATACACACCTGGAGTATGAGCAGTATGTCGTAGGCCATAGACGCGCCACCGATCAGCATCTTGGGGATGTTCTCCAGGATGTAGTCGGCGTCACTGAATGCTATCGCATCGATGCAGTTCTGCAGCAGCGAAAAAATGCCTCCACTTATGTCCAGCAAGATCTGCTGGATCGCCATACCTATCCAATCCACACACACACACACACACGTGGAGGTCGGCCAATGCAGCGATGGATAGGCTCACTCACCCTTGGTTGATTTGTTCCTGTAGTTCAAAAGGATCTGAGGAATATACTTGACTATCGTGATGAAGGCCTTCACCAAACCTGATTGATGATTTATCGACACACAGTGACATCCATGGTGTGGGTGTGTTGTTGGCCCCTCCATCCCTCCCTCCCTCCCCTCCCCCTTGCTCGGCTCGGCTCACCAAGATAGGAGACGACACTCCACCCCTGCAGGCTCCACAGAAGCGTCGACACCCCAGCCCCTCCCGATATAGAGCTCTCCACCGCACCAAGCTGCCGCCTCCTGTGGCCGTCGTCAGCTGCCAGGAAGCCATCCAGTGCCCTCCGCCAGTGCGTCGAGTCCCTCAACGACCCCTCAACATTGGCTGTGGCGGGCAGCGCGTGGTGGTGGTGGATGGTGTACCATGGGATGACCCCCATGCTGGCCATCCCCATCTGCACTACCAGCAGCAGGATGAGAGCCCCTGAGAGGATCCGTGCGGGCCAGCCGATGGTCTGCCCGCCCTTCTCGTAGATGAGGATCTGGTAGCCGAGCACCGAGCAGATGAATAGGGCGTGCACCGAGAAGAAGACGTCGTGCAGCTCCACTGCAAAGGCCAGGTTGTGGCGGATCTGGATCACGTAGCGCACCACGGTGTAGGTGCTGTAGGCGGCGAACCCGACGATATTGAGCCAGGCCAAGTCAAAGGAGAAGCCGACACATGACTTCCTGGTGTAGTTGAGCCACACTTGGGGGTAGAAGGAGAAGGTCCAGCAGAAGACATAGATCACGCCGCACGCCGATGACAGGAACTCCAGAATCTGGAAGATCACGTGCTGCTCGTCCGCGGCTGCGAGTGGAGCCTCCTCCTGGTCCTCAATGAAGCTGTCGGCTGGCTTCCACTCCTCGTCTCTGCCCGCCCTGGCCATGTCCTTGACCATGTTGCCCCGCTTCCTGCCCTTGTTGGCACGCATGTCCTCCTGCCGGCTGACGTTGCGGTGGGTGGCGTTGGAGGTGCGGTTCGTGCCGCCGCTCCGCTGCTGCTGGTCGCCCTCAGTGACCTCCATCTCATCTGGGTCGCTCTCCCTGTCCACCAAAGCACCCAGCGAGTCGCCCGCTGACGGGGTGTCGCAATCCGCACCGCTGGCGCTATCGCATTCGGACGGCGATGCAACCTGCCAAAGACAACCACCAGCCAAGAGATCCACATATCCATCGGAACAGCACTCGTTCGCTCAGTCGGTCTATCTATCGGCTCTCTGCCACCTCTCACTGACTGACCAGTGTGACGGGGTCGTCGGTGAGGAGTTCGTACATTTTGTCCCAGAGCTTGCCGGTGACGAGCAGCTTGTGTGTCCAGATGTTGTTCTTGAAGGCGATGCCGTTGAGGACGTCCCGCTTCCCGTTGCCGGCCGTGTTGCTCAGGTGCACCCCCTTCAGCCCCAGCTCCCCCAGGCAGTCGCCCGTCGTGGGGTCCACTCTGACGATGTACTCCTGGAACCACACGTTGGCGTACACGAACGGAGTCACGTACTCGATCTCATTGAGCTCTTCAGTCGGCACACCGTTGAAGCACGACACCTCCCGGGCCGCACGCACGTCGACAGACGAGGCGTCGGCCGGGATGCGCAGCTCCATGACGTAGGCTGACCCGTTGGTGGCGTAGAAGGTCCCCGGCTCCTCGGCGTCGTGTGCGTAGGCCAGGCCCCAGCCGTCGTAGGGATAGTCGAGCTCATTCAGCAGCTCCAGTGTGGTCAGGTTGTAGACGAGTATACGCTTCTCCCGCCAGGTGAGGACGAAGACGCGGCCGTTCCAGATGGCCGCCCCCTCGGCGAAGAACTTGTCGGGGATGTTGGTTTCCTTGAGGAGGGTCAGGTCGGGGTAGGTGTATTTCTTGATGCGCGACTTGCGGTAGAGGCCGCAAGTCTCAAGAACTGTCGTGTTGTCGATGAACAATAGACCCTGCAGCGCAGCGCAGCAAGGACGGAAGGAAGGAAGGTTGACTCACAAAGGGCCAGTGAGGGACAGGCAAAGAGGGACGGAAGGCGCCACCTCAACAGTCATCGCATACGTACGTACGTACCTGTGTGAAGCACTCATGGTCGTGGTCCAGCACACGATTCACCTGATATGCCAAGTCACTCGGAGCGGCCACTGCTCCACTGCAGGCAAGGACGACCAAGACAACAGCTGTCCGCAAAAAGCGCCTCGCCATCACCGTCCTCATCCGGTCGCAGCCTTCTTGCTGTGGCTTAGTCTTCATGCCCGTGTTGTCAAGGACGCGGCATCAAGCGAGATAGAGGACAGCCCTCTTTCAAGGTCTCTCGAGGCAAGAAGGTCTCTGGGGAGAGATGACCAAGCTCGAGGCGGCGAGAAGCCGTCTGCTTCCTGACCTTTGCGAGCTAGCTCGCGTTAACGGCTGTGGTTCGCTATGCGTATGTGGAGGTTGCTTCTGTGACATGCGCACGAGGCATCGGAGGAGTGGGCTGTGAGGCTGCAGTGAATCACAGCCCAGATCATCGTGGTTGATTGACTTATCTCTCTTCCCTCTGTGTGTTTGGCCATGCCGAACACTCAGAGCTCATCGGGGAGCAGCTGGGAGGTGCCTGCCAGGCCAGTGCCTGAGGACCTCAAGCAGCTGCACAAGCTTTATGGCGACTCGGCCTTCGGCAAGACGCTCGCCAAGTGGGCCAAGGAGATGCCTGACGCGCGTGCCATCACCTGGCTGGACCGCAACAAGGACGAGCGGCTGCAGGAGAGCAAGACCTTCACATACCGGGAGCTCTTGAGGGAGGTGCAGCGGCTGGGTGCCTATCTGACTGACGAGCTGGGACTCGAGCTGGGTGATCGGGTGATCCTGTGCTACCCGCCCGGCGCCGACTTCAACATCGCCTTCCTCGCCTGCCTCTACACGGGCATCGTTGCAGTGCCCGTCATCCCCCCTGACCCCAGCAAGCTCAAGGTCGATGTGCCACGGTTGTGTGACATCGCCGAGAGCAGTGAGGCACGCCATGCGCTCACCAACGCCTACTACTCAAGGATCAAGATGGCCTTCGCCGTGCGCGCCCTGTCGGTGGACACCCGGTGGAGATCCATTGAGTGGCAGGTCCCCGCCAAAGTGATCGAGCACAAGAAGGGCGACGACACAGAGGCCGAGGCCACCCCCCCATCGATTGGCCTGAGCGACATCGCCTTCCTGCAGTTCACGTCGGGGTCCACATCGACGCCGAAGGGCGTGATGGTGACGCACGGCTCGCTGCTGCACAACGTCCACTGCTGCATCACGGCCTACGGCTGGGACAGCAAGCTCGACGACCCCACCATCCCCAACATCACAGCGACGGGGCAGCCCTACACCAGGACGCGCGACATCCTGTTGCAGCGGTCAGAGGTCAGCCAGCGGGTGCGGGGGCACCGCTTGAGGTGCTTCTCATGGCTCCCCGTCTACCACGACATGGGGCTCATCGGGTTCCTGTGCACGCCCCTCTTCTTTGGATGCGAAATTTTTCAAATGTCACCTCTGGAGTTCATCAAGACGCCGCATCTGTGGCTGCAAGGTACGTACGCTGAAGGATCCTCATGCATCAATCCAATCAATCCATTCATTCATTCATTGGTGCGGTGCCTGCCTGTCTGCCTACCTGACCTGCGTGCATCTTGGTCTGCTCAGGCATGAGTCGATTCAAGGCTGATGCGTGTGCGGCGCCCAACTTCGCCTTTGAGCTGGTGGTGCGCAAGATGCCCGAGGACGTGTTCGAGGAGCTGGACCTCAGTCACGTGGCGGGCTTCCTCTGCGGAGCAGAGCCAATCAGGGCGGCCACCGTAGACAAATTCGTCAAGGTACTCACGGGCGTGTTTGAAGAGGGAGGGCGGCGGGCAATCAATGCATGGATCGACCAACAAAAGAGAACACGATGGCTGTCTGTGTCTGTGTTGTTTGTTTATTCACCATCATCAGAAATTCGCGAGCAAGGGTGTGACTCCCAGCAAGTTTCTGCCGGCATTTGGGTTGGCCGAGAACACCCTGTTTGTGTCGGGCCGCAAAGACATCGACAGCGAGCCTCTCATCATCACCGTCAACGCAATGAAACTCAGGAGCCAAGTGAGCCAACACAAGCAAACAACACACAAGCAAGCAATCAATCAATCAATCAGTGCTGCGAGGAAGCAGACAGACAGACAGACAGACATGCATCATCAGCACGGCACGGCGGGCATTTGCAAGCCACACACGTTCGTCTGTCTGTCTGTGGTGTTGCGTCTTGTGTGTGCAGGGTGTGGTTGAGTTGGTGGATGGAGCCGACATGGATGGCGAGCACGAGGGGGAGTACCAGCGGCTCGTCGGATGTGGCGTACCCTTCTCTGGCATTGACGGTACGCAAACCATCACTGAGGTCGCTCATCAGAGATTCATCGGTTTGCTTTGTCCTCTGTCATTCATTGCTGCAGTCCGTATTGTTGATCCCGAGACGATGAAGGAGCTGCCAGAGGGCCACTGTGGCGAGGTGTGGATGATGTCAGGCAGCACGGCTCGTGGCTACTTCAACCAGCCAGAGAAGACGCAGGAGTCGTTCAATGGGCAGTGCATCTACCTGACAGGCGACAAGTCGGAGCCCTTGTACCTGCGCACAGGCGACAAGGGCTTCATCTACAAGGGGGAGCTGTTCATCGCCGGCCGCATCAAAGACATGATCATCGTCTACGGCCGCAACTACTTCCCGCAGGACATCGAGGAGGCCGCCGAGAGGTGCGAGGCGGTCCGCGGGGGAGGCGTCGCGGCCTTCTCGCTGGAGGTGGATGACCACGAGCGGCTGGGCCTGGCCGTGGAGATCAAGGAGACCAAGGAGGAGAAAGGCATGTGGGGATGGCTGTCGCGGCTGGGGCAGGGGGACGCCGGCAAGCAGCAGTACAAGGAGCTGAGCCGCGAGATATGCAAGGCCGTCTCGGGCAAGATCGGCCTGGCCGTCTACCGCATTTGGCTAGTCAAACCAAAAACCATAAGCAAGCACAAGACAAGTTCGGGTGAGGGGATGCGCTGCACACACTCACACGTACACAAAGGCGTGCCCGTCAAATTGATTCGTGCACTCCTTCTCCCCCTTTCCCTGTCTGTGTGGTCAGGCAAGGTGCGTCGTTTCAAGGTGCGTGACCTTCTTCTCAAGAAGGAGCTGCCGGGTATCATCTGGGACGAGGTCGTGGGCCACGACACCCACAAGAAGGAGGCAGCAGCACAGCAGCAACCCACAGACGAGGCGGCAGCAGCGGCCGAGCCCAAGCCTGCCGCAGGAGCAGACAAGGAGGAGTCCCCGAGCGCCGCTGCTCGCAGGCGGCCGCCCAGCGCCCCTGTCGCCACACAGGAGGCAGCGAGGCGTGGCGAGAGGAGCGCCACCAAGGACCTTTCCATCGCAGAGAGGAGGGAGATGGTCCAGTCGGCAGTGGTGGCGTCGGCGGGCAAGATCCTCGGTGACGCCGACACATTTGACTTCGACGCGCCCCTTCACGAACTGGGTGTGGACTCGATCGGTGCGGTGGAGTTTGCCGAGGACGTGTCCAAGGCGCTGTCGCTGACCATCGAGCCCACGCTCGTCTTCAACTACCCCACCATGAACGACATCATCGACTTTCTCGTCGGCGAGCTCGAGGGCCGCGCCGCCGAGGAGGCCGCACAGGAGGGCGGCACACTGGTGGGCGGCATCCGGGCAGACGAGCCCATCGCCATTGTGGGTGCGGCGTGCCGTCTGCCGGGCGGCAGCTCGTCTCTGGAGTCGCTGTGGGAGCTGCTGAGCACAGGCGGCGATGCGATAGTGGAGGTGCCGCGGTCGCGGTGGGACGTGGACGAGCACTACGACCCCGACCCCGACCTGGAAGGCAAGATGTACATACGGGAGGGCGGCTTCATCGACGACGCCGAGATGTTCGACGCCGCCTTCTTCCGAATCGGCCCAGCGGAGGCCAAGGCCATGGACCCCCAGCAGCGCGTGCTGCTCGAGGTCTCATACGCAGCCCTCCACAACGCGGGCTACTCGCGTGAGATGCTCACGCGCAGCCAGATCGGCGTGTTCGTCGGGTGCTGCTCATTCGACTGGTACCACGTGCACAACCAGATGGGCCTCAGCGTGAGCAGCTACAGCGCCACCAGCGCCGCGGCATCGATCCTCGGCAACCGCATCTCCTACATCCTCGGCCTGCAGGGACCGTCCATGACGGTCGACACGGCGTGCTCGTCATCGCTCGTCGCCCTCGACATTGCCATCTCCAACCTGCGACGAGGTGTGTGCAGCACGTGTGTGGGCGCGGGCATGAACCTGATGCTCAATCCACAAGTCACGGTGGCCTTCTGCAAAGCGCGCATGATGGCGCCGGACGCCCGGTGCAAGACATTCGATGCGTCGGCCAACGGCTATGTGCGGGGCGAGGGCGGCGCCGCCATTGTCCTGAAGCGACTCTCTGACGCTTCACCCGACTCGGTGGGCGTGTTGGCCTGTCTGCGAGGCACAGCCGTCAACCATGGGGGCAGGGCAGCCAGCCTCACAGCTCCCAGCGGCCCGGCCCAGCAGCAGGTCATCAGGTCGGCGCTGCGGCAGGCCGGCCTCCGACCATCATCAATCGACTTCGTGGAGACGCACGGCACGGGCACTTCACTCGGCGACCCCATCGAGGTGGGTGCCCTCAAGGCCGTGTTTGCGGGAGGGCGGGACTCGGAGCACCCGCTGCTGCTCGGCGCCCTCAAGACCAACATGGGCCACTTGGAGGGTGCGGCGGGGATTGCCGGCGTGCTGAAGGCGGTGCTGGTACTGCAGATGAACGAGGCCCCGCCAAACCTCCACTTCAGCTCCCTCAACCCCCACATCGACATCGACGGCTTCCCCGTCGGATTCCCCAGTGGCACGGAGACCCTCCCACTCAAACCACCGCCCGGCAGGCGGCTGCTGGCCGGCGTTAGCTCATTCGGCTTCGGCGGCACCAACGCCCACGTCATCCTCGAGGAGGCGCCGCCAGACCTGGCTAAGCGGAGCGAGTCAGAGGCCATCAAGGAGCTCACCCCGTCGACTGCATTCCTATTCACCGGTCAGGGATGCGAGTATGTTGGCATGGGGCGGCAGCTGTACGAGAGAGAGCCCGAGTTTCGCCATGCTTTGGATCGATGCAACGACGAGCTCAAGCCGTTCCTGCCGGTGCAGCTGCTGGACCTGCTCTACCCCACTGCCGACCGCGTCAGCGAGATGGAGCAGCTCATGCGGCAGACCAAGTACGCCCAGCCGGCCCTCTTCGCCTTCGAGTGGTCACTGGCGCAGCTGTGGAAGTCCAAGGGAGTCGCCCCGGAGGTGGTCATCGGCCAGGGGCTGGGCGAGACTGTCGCGGCCGTCGTTGCGGGCGTCTTCAGCCTCGAG